AAATTAAATTTAAGAAATCATTTTTTTCTTCAAACTCGTTCATTCCGAGAGTGGATAAATAATCCGAAATTGATTTACATTCATGACAGTTTTAAATTTCTGATCTTTAGAAAATGGTACTATTAGTGGCTTTTTTTCAGTTTTGTTGAAAAATGAAGAACATTATTAGCCTAATTATGCAAACTTCTGGTCTACCGAGAAAGCCAACTTTTTTTTGATAGCTTAAATGCCATTGCTCTCCTGCATCTTTTGCTTTAAAAATAGCATCCCTATTTACTATTTTCACTGCCATCGTGTGCTGACAAAGAAGTTTCATAGTAACCTGCAAAGGACACGAACATTTTTTAATTCTGCAATTGCAATTCCAGCAGCATATGGAGACAGAACTTTTACAATATCATCTGTAACTATACCTTCATCAGTACCTAATCTATATGGCTCTTTAAAAGATTGATTAAACTCGATATGAGTGATTTGTTCAAATTTACCAGTATGTAACAAAAGGGTAACTTTTACTGCCTCTGCAAGGAAATTTTTCTGGACAATATGTTTTTGATTTTTTGATTATGGGACTCGGACCTGTTATTTGTTGTATTACCAAGACTAACATACTTGATAGTTTCATAGTATGCCCAATACTTAACTTGGTGTGGCAAGCCCCAATCTTTGTTGTAGTATGCCATTACAACTTCTGGTGCAACTGTAGCAAGATGACCCAAATTTGTACCAAACAATTTCTTTGATTTTGCATACACAAGCGATTGAAATATTTTTTTTAGATTATCTTTTTCTATTCTGGCTAAAGCTTGTTTATTTAAAAATCTGTAAAATGCTTGCAAAACATGAAACTTACACAGTTGGATTTCTCCTGTAGGCATAACCTCGGAAGCTGCACCTATTTCTTTTAGGTCCTTGTCAAGAATGACAACCTTTACTTGGTTAAGATTCAGTATAAGTTCAATTTCTGAAAACACATCTTGCAGAGTGTTTTCAGTTTCTTGTGCAATAAAAGCATAACCAATAGCCTGACCTATTCCATTTCCATCCTCCACTAACAGAGTAAATAAAGACATTCTTATTTGTTTGTGCAATATGTGCAGTCAATCATTAGCACTTCAGGAAACATATCAAACACCTGTTGCATATCTCCACTTATTAGTAAAAGAAACTGCAGAGCACCTTCTGAATCAACTTGAACAGATATAACTGCATCAGGATCTTTTTTCACCTGAAAATAAAAATCAATTTTTAACTAAAACTTTTAGATAATATATAAATAAAATAACTTGATTAATAAAGTGTATTATTTAAACTATTGTTGTTTTATAAACCATTTAACTCAAGGTACAACAAACCTCTCTGAATACATTTAGGTTAAAACTAGCAGGCGTTTACTGTCTCTCTATATATACTAACTGTTACTATTTTTCTTTTTTTCTTTTTTTCTTTTTCAAATATTCTTTTAAAAAACAGACTTTAACACCAAGTTTAAACATTGTTTAAAATTATCATCCTTCACTACTTCACTTAACCGGCGTTGTTCAGGGTAATGCATAAAAGCAGATCTATGAAAGCATAAATAAAAATAAAAATTAAATAAAATAAAAAAATAAAAAATTGCAATAAAAAAATACAAATTAACTCAAAAAAAGTACAATTTTCTACAAAATAAACTAATAATAAAATATAGTTGTTCTAACATGCTGACTTCATGTTATGGTTAGCCTGAAGTTGCTGTACTATCTTTATTAATACTAATATAAAGTTTGGCACTACATCCAATTTTGAAAGAACTAAAAAAAAAAGTAGTAAAAATCTTTACTTTCTGAAAATTATTGAGTTTTATCAGTGGGTAGTGAACATTATAATGCTCACTACCCACTTAGAAGTGCATGTTGTAGTTGATATGAGATCTTATTCAAGCTCGAATGCCAGCCTCCACAAGCCAGCCAAAAAGAAGCAAAAAATGATTAAAGTGAAATTTAGCATACAAAAATAAAATATTAGATTTCTTTTCTTTTAGAAATTTTTTAGATAAAAAGAAATTAGATTAACAAAACACTTAAAACCTTTGATTTGGGAGAAATCCTTTCTCTTTTGTTCTCTTAACTCCTCCATGCTTGCATAAATATGTTACATTTCTAAATTTAAACTTTTCATCAAAACGTTTTGAATTCTGACTCATACCCAATGTAACAGTTTTGCTGTTACATTTAGTCCACAAAATGTTCGTAAATACCGACCAAGAAGCCAACTTATTTTCAAATTCAGCAAAGTTATCAAACTTATCTCCTTGTTTAATTTCAATACTCATGACTAATTTGATAAGCTGAAACTAAAAACATAAATTAGGTTTATTATGCAATCATATTTATAGCAAAAATAAATTAAATAAATCAGTTTATTCCAAACAAGCTACCTGATTGAATCCTACCTTTTTGAATAGCACATGTGTATTATATTTATAGTTTATATATAACCGTGGTCATGCGAATAAGCTTTATTTCGTTATTTGCAGTTAGCTGATAACCAACCATCACCACAGAAGTCCGATCACCGCAAATGGTCGATTTTTTGTTCCCTAATTTACACGACGGTGAATAAGCTTATTTTTGTGATTTGCACGACGGTCGTGCGAATAGACATTTCGGATTTCTTCAAGTCCTCGTGTAGAAATAATCGTAAAATAAACAATAAGTACAAAAAGCATTTTACGTTTTTGCATTTACATGTTTGCATTTAAACCAATTTGTACAAGAGGCTTATTCGCATTCTAACTAAGAATTATTGTTTTGTTTATAACTATTTTTTTTTGTATATATTTTTTAACGAAGGGAACAAAAAAGTAATAAACGAAAAAGAAAAAATAGATTTAGGATTTTAAAATTAAAAAAAAAGGTGTTGAAAACAAGTGTCAAACACTACCATTTTTCTTGTCAACTTGCAACAATTCTATAAAGCTCAGATTTAGCCATAATAATTCTCTACTACATATCGAAAATTCTCAAATTAAAAGACCTCGTCCAACACTCAAACTGTTTGTCTGGAAACTGCAATATAAAACCCTGCCTCGTCCATTAAATGATTTTTTTACTAAAAAAAAAAAAAAAAATAGTCGTTACTATCTTTGATCAGCTAAAAGCTTGAAATTATCTATACCTAAACATTGAAGGGTTTATTATGGCCATAATAAGTTTAGGTGCAGATAATTTGAAGCTTACATTTGAATACTTGTTACAATCTTCAATTAGCTAAAAGCTTCAAATTATCTGTACCTAAACTTTTTATGGTCATTATTATTACACTACTCCAAGAGAATATGGTCTGATATTCACTAGATTCATGACCATATGACCATTGAATGGTCATATAGCCATGAATCTAGTAAATATTAGAATATATTCTCTTGGAATAGTCTCCCCTCACAATTAAAATCTCTCCCTCCATTTTCCGAATTCAAAAACAGTCTACTGTATTTATTCTAATTCTTATGCTCCTCTGCTGCTAACTATCTTTCATCTATCTTAACTGTGTATACTACTGTTTATTATGTATATTCTATTACTTTTCTTGAATCAATGTTGATTTATTACTACTGATATTTGTTTACTTTTTTAGTTTTTTTCTTAAATTAATGTTGTTTTTATATTATCATTGTTGTTGTTGTTATTGGTAATTAATATATTGTTGTTAGTATTAATATTTTTATTACAATTATGATTATTAGTGTTACTACTACTACTACTACTACTACTACTACTACTACTACTACTACTACTACTACTACTACTACTACTACTACTACTACTACTACTACTACTACTACTACTACTACTACTACTACTACTACTACATATTATTGATAATTAGAATTTTTATTATTATTGCTGTTATTAATAACATTATATTATGTTATGGTATATAATTATATTTTAATTTATTTTAATTGCTATATCTTAATTAGATTTATAATAATCTTATACCTTAAATATAAATATTAAATGTAATTAAAATTATTATTATTGCTATTATTATTATTATTATTATTATTATTATTATTATTATTATTATTATTATTATTATTACTATTGCTATTATTATTATTATTATACTTAGTTATTATTAAAGAAAATATTTAAATGTTGTTTTTGTTAAATTTTAAACAATTGTTGTTATACTATATAGTTGTTTAAAATATAGTTATAAATTATTGTATTACGTATTGTTTTGTTATTTTTTTCATTGACTAAGTTGTTTACTTGAATTTAATGTGCTATATGTAAATATTATGTAAAATCTACTCTAAAATACATTTGATTTAATTTGTTATTAAAGATAATTTGAAACTTAGAGTGGGGTTTTCTTACAAATTAATCAAAGTTGCAAAAATTTTTTATATGAATTTAATAGCTGCACATCAAATGCAATTTATAAAGGTACTTATGCATACCTAATACAAGGAGGAGGAGGAGAGGGGTTGATTGGGAATTTTAGTCTAGATCTAAAAAACAGGAGGGTCTTTATAAAAGGATGGGTGGGGTTTTTTTACAGAACACAAATAAAACAATTTAATTCTAGTGTGGCTTCATATATATAAAAAATATTTCAACAAATAAAACACATACTGGATTAGCTCTTATAAAGAGCTTTTCCAGTATGTGTTTTAAGCAAAGGGAGTTACATTGATTTTTGCATTGCGTAGTAAATATTGCAGATGCAATATTTATTACACAAGTAAAGATTGCAAATCTACTCTCGAATACATTTGATTTAATTTCATATTGAAGATGATTTGAAATTTAAAATGAGGTTTTCTAACAAATTAATCAAAAATTGCAAAAAATTTCCATATGAATTTAATAGAATCAAATTATAAATATAATATGGATATATATGATAGATATATAATAATAATATCAAGGTATAGCTGTAAGAACTGGTGTTAACAGTTGCGAAGTACAGTAGATATTGCATTGTAACAGCTAAGTTTGTTTTTAGTCTAGTTTATTTTTGAAGTTATTTATTGAAGCAGCTTCTATTATTTCAGATGGTAAGTTGTTCCATGCATCTACAACTCGATTTTGAAAAAAGTGATATCTAAAGGTATTTCTGCAAAAATGTTTTTTAGTTTGAATTTGTGTTATCGTAAATACTTATATGTAAATAATAAATAATTCTTTATGTATTTTGATAATTGTTTGTGCCCTAAATTATTTTATCATGGCCATGTTGAATTTTAAAATTTTAAAACTCCATTATTCTCAGTTCACTAAATCTCGCATCTTATCGCAGAAGTTAGGCTCTAAAGACTTTTGGAAAATCTTCAACAGCATTGTTAACAAGGGTAGATCTAACATTCCATCTCTCATTCATGGGACTGATCTTGTTACCTCTCCCAGGGATAAGGCAGAACTGTTTGCAATTGAACTTTTCTTCTAATTCCACTTTTGAATCTTATGGACATTTTCTTCCTTCCATTCCAGTCAAACAGGTTGACCCATTATTAGACATTCAAATCACTCCGGCTTCTGTTGCTAAAGTCATATCTCAATTAAACTCGTCTACAGCTTGTGGTCCAGACAACATTCCTGTCACAGTCTTGCAGAATTGTTCTCCAGAACTTTCTTCAATTCTCTCTAAACTATTTAACAAGTGTTTGACTGAGTCTTGTTTTCCTGCTTGTTGGAAAATGGCATCTGTGGTTCCAATATTCAAAAACTCTGGAGAAAATTCTGACCCCTCCAATTATCGTCCGATCAGTCTTCTTTCTGTTATTAGCAAGGTCTTTGAGTCTTTGATCAACAAATTCCTCACATCTCATCTTGAGTCAAATAAACTGTCAGACAATCAATACGGTTTTCGATCCTCTCGCTCTACGGCCGACTTGTTAACTGCTGTAACTGAAAGATTTTATCGTGCATTAGATGGAGGCGGTGAGGCTAGGGCTATTGCTCTCGACATATCTAAAGCTTTCGACAAAGTTTGGCATGCTGGTCTTCTCCATAAGCTTGCTTCATATGGTGTTTCTGGGACAGTTTTTGAGATTATCAAATCATTTCTTTCTAACCGGTTTATTAAAGTCATCCTTGAAGGCCAACACTCTTCTTTATTTCCAGTAACTTCTGGGGTTCCCCAAGGTTCCATCCTGGGCCCTGTTTTGTTTCTTATCTACATAAACGATCTTCCTGACAACCTTTCATCTAAAGTAGCTCTTTTTGCTGATGACTCAACTTTATACTCCTGTCTTGACAAAAAGTCTTCTCTTTTCGATCGCCTAGAACAAGCAGCTGATCTTGAATCTGATCTCACTTCAGTAATAGATTGGGGTTCACAGTGGCTTGTGAATTTCAACTCTAAAAAAACCCAATTGCTTACTGCAAACAACTACCGTAATATGGTCAACATTCCTATATTAATGAATGGCAATCCTCTTACTGAGTCCTCCTCTTTATGTCTTCTTGGATTATCGCTTACTACTGACCTTTCATGGAAACCATATATACAATCGATTGCTAAATTAGCTTCTGCTAAGGTTGCTTCTCTTTATCGTGCTCGCCATTTCCTTACTTCTGATTCCATTCTCTACCTCTACAAATCTCTTATTCGTCCCTGTATGGAATACTGTTGTCATATTTGGGCTGGTTCTTCTAACGATTCACTTTCTCTTCTTGACAAGGTCCAAAAACGCATTGTAAATGTTGTTGGACCTGGACTATCTGCTAAGTTTGAGCCTCTTTCCCATCGTCGTAAAGTTGCATCTCTTTCTCTTTTCTACAGATACTATCATGGTCACTGCTCAAAGGAGTTATCATCTCTAGTTCCATCAACTAAAATTCATTTTCGTTTTACTCGTCATTCAGCTAAGTCTCATTCGTTTACTGTATCTGTCCCTGCATGCTCTAAAAACTTTTAATCATCTAGTTTTTTTCCCCGCACTTCAATCCTTTGGAACTCTCTCCCATCTTCATGTTTTCCTGACTCATGCAACCTTCAACTTTTCAAGTCTTCTGTCAACCGTTTCCTTGCTCTATAACTCTGTTCTTTTTTTTTTTCCTAGTAACTCCCAACTTAATAGTGGTTGCTTGCAGCCTTGTTGGGAGTGAATGCAAATTAAAAAAAAAAAAAAAAAAAAAATGTTGAAAAAGATCATTATGTAGCCTGCGTTCTTCTAGTATCGTTATTCGCTTATTATTTAACCTAGCTTCATTTGATAATTTTTTAATTGTAAGTGTTAGTTTAGTTGCTCATTTTTAGATCATCTCAATTTTGTTTATGGTCCACAAACTCAAGATGTGGACGTATGAATGTTGTGTAGAACTTTTTTAGTATGTTTAAGTCCAAATATTTAAATGCTCTTTTTAATCAATATCAGTAATTATAAATGTAGCATTTGGATTTTTTTCCCATTATACATAACTTTGCATTTTTCATAATTAAATTTTGTGAGCCAGATAGATGGCCATGCCATTATACTATTTATATCATTTAGAAGGCTTATTGAATCATTTGATTTTTTATGTTAGTTGTTTTACTATCATCAGTGTAAAGTTTGATAGGGTTTTTGACTTGATCTGGCAAATTGTTAATGATATTTTAATGATATATATATATATATATATATATATATATATATATATATATATATATATATATATATATATATATATATATATATATATATATATATTTAATTGATATTAATATGGAATAATAAAGTGAATCATCTTATGTATGGCTATTGGTAAGCCAATTATAAATCTCATCTGAATAATTCCAAATCTTCAGGAGCAAATGGTTTTTGTAGGTTTTGATTCATTCCCTTTATTAAAGTGATTTATCACATAATTGTCATGTTTCATAGTTTAATTGTTCAACAATTTGAAAAATAGTGTAGGTAAAAAATGATTTAAACATGATTTTTTTTTTTTTTTTTAATGTTGTGTCTTGTTTTTTTTATGAAAAATCTCTTTGTTTTCTGATATTTATATTGCAAGAAACATATATACTAAATTTAATCAGTTGGTATTTTTTAAAAGTTTTACCACAACTACAAAATTATCTTTTTTCCATCTTGAGGAACAACATTTAACCGGTTTTATCATTACTATGGCCAAAGATATTGCTTGATTGGTGCAAGGTAAAATTATTGTGGACAAAAAACAAACATTGTGTCGATGTCACAGTAACGTTATGTACTGCCTTACTTACAAAATAGACAGTAAGGGGAAAAAAAAAAGAAAAATAACTCAGGACCAGAATTTACTTCATTAACATATATTCTCTTATGGTACAAAGCAAAAAGACTTTGTCTTCTTTCTTCTTTAAAACATGCTAAAAAATTAATAATTTTAGTACATAGCAAAAAGACTGTATGTGCTTAATTATGATAATTAAATTAAAAAATTATTAAAACCTCTGTAAAGCTCTTTTTTGAAGTCAATTGATGGTATTAAAAGTTTTTGACATGTACTAAGCTGACTGGTTGGCTAAATATGTTGTTTTTTTTTAAGAATATTTCAAAATGGAAATTTTGCAGTTATTGTCTATTTTATAAGTAGAGCAGTGTACTCTTAGTGCTTAATACTCTTAAGTGCTTAATATTTTTCCCGTCCACCCCAAGTTTATTAAGACCCCCCTCGTTTATTAATTTTTACTTGTTATCATCAAAAAAATAATTTAAAAATAAAACAAAAAACAATCTAATATTGTATACATCAGTCACTGATACGAATAAAAACTTTCAGTGTAATCAGATTTCAAAAATCATTGACTTTAAAAAATCTTGTAAATTTCGATTTGTCAAAAATTTTATGATGAAAAAACTGTTAAAAAATGCACATTTGACCACAAACCATCTAATAAAATTGTTTTATTAGTGTTGTGTAAAAAAATCCCACCCATCTTCTTATTAAGACCCCCTCTCCCCATTAGTTAGGTCTGGACTAAAATCCCCTTCCCCTCCCCCACACATTCTTTTTATTACAACCCTTCTTCCCCCTCCCCTACCTCCACTCCTCCCCACATTAGGAACGAGAGTATTAATCCCTTTAAATTTTATTTACTCAGTCAGTTTTTAATTTGTGCCACCTTATTTAAATAATATAATGCTTAAAAGATTGTCATGCAGTTGCACATTGTGGCTTTGGAAATGAGTCCCAGAATAATGTTATTGAGATTTTTAAAACAATTAAAAATCCATTTTGCCATACTCAAGGTCTTGCGGAAATCTTTTACACAAAGATGCTTTTAATTAAAAAAATTAACTTAATAATGAATTATTTGATTTCATTTTGTTCCCATCAATCTTGTGGCGGTAGAGGTTGCCTGAACAAACAGGTGAGGAAATCCATACTAACTTTAAAAGAGATATCTTTCTGATCATGGTACAAAATTAAAATAGTTTTGTACAATTTTGAAAAAAAATCAAACATAAAAAAATATAAGTTTATGAAACCTTTTTGTATTTATGTAATTGTAATATATTTTTAATATGAAATAATATTTGAAATCTAGTTTGAAATCTACTTTAAATTTTAATTAAAGATTAATTAGGCATCTACTTCACGATTGAAGATCAGGGTGTGATGACATAAAACCTGTTAGTTAATTTAGCAATAATAATATTAATTTAATAAAGCAAAAAAAAAAAAGTATAATTGACCAATTTGAAACTAAAATTAATAATAAAAACTTAAATATTATTTCTTATTTTTTTATTCTATAAATAGCATTTTCAAAATGATGACTTGAAACATCAATTAGGGTGATTTTTTGTATTTATAGTATTTAATTTACTATTGCAAGTGCTTTAAAAGCTTTGTCTTTTATTTAGATATTTTTTAAATTGAGTTGTTTTTATCATATCTACCATAAATCTATTTACTCCTGTGGAATAATATCATAATCTTAAACGGTCACAAGAAATGTTTAGATTTATGAATTTGATTTATTTATATTCAATTTTTTATATATATATATATATATATATATATATATATTCAATTTTAAAAAATCACAGAATTACAGACATAATCTTAACAAACTATGTGATAATGTTACACTATGTATTAAATATAAAATATGTTATGTGTAAATTAAAATATATTATTCTTTTATTTGATTTTTTCTTTCAATGTTTTATTTTTATTTCAAGTTTCAGAGTAAAAAAAATTTTTTCAAGTGAAGTGTATGGGTCGTTCATCCAAGGATAAACGCGACGTTTATTATAGATTAGCGAAAGAAGGAGGATGGAGAGCCAGAAGTGCATTTAAGCTACTTCAAATTAATGAAGAATTTGACTTGTTTACTAATGTTAACCGTGTAGTAGACCTCTGTGCTGCACCTGGTAGTTGGAGTCAGGTTTTGAGTAGAAAATTGATTGAAGAAAGAGATCAAAAAAATGCTGTTAAAATTGTTGCTGTTGATCTACAAGCCATGGCTCCTTTACCTGGAGTAATACAGATTCAAGGCGATATAACAAAGGTTCGTAGTTTTGATTTAATTAAATTTTAAATATTTTTGAACATTAAGTTTGCCTATCTTTGCCAAACATTAAGTTTGCCTACCTTTGCCAAACATTAAGTTTGCCTACCTTTGCCAAACATTAAGTTTGCCTACCTTTGCCAAACATTAAGTTTACCTACCTTTTTTATATTTAGGTATCAACAGCGAATGAGATTATTTCGCATTTTGAAGGTGAACCTGCTGATCTTGTGGTTTGTGATGGGGCTCCTGATGTAACTGGTCTTCATGATATCGACGAATACATTCAAGGTCAACTTCTTTTAGCTGCTTTTAACATTACAAGTCATGTGCTTAAAATAGGTGGTAATTTTGTTGCAAAGATTTTTCGCGGTAAGGATGTAAATTTGCTCTATTCTCAGATGAAGTTGTTTTTTACTGATGTTACCGTATGCAAGCCAAGAAGTAGTAGGAACTCGAGCATAGAAGCATTTATTGTTTGTCTTAACTACTTTCCACCTGAAGGCTACATACCTACAATGGCAAATCCTCTTTTAAATCAAGATTTAGATTATAGCAGGTATTTCGTGTTTTTTTTTGTTTTGTTTTTTTAATTTGATTTCTATTCTTTATAATGTCTGTTCACAAAAAACCCGAATGAAAAATTGTTCTTAATTGAATACAAAATTAATCGATTTTTGACAAAAATTTTAACTAAAATGAGAGACTGGACATCGTTAACTATTTTATAACCGCAAGTGGTCCTAAATCAGCGGCTTTTCGAACTTTAGTTTTGACTGAATCCATTAGGTTGAAAAAGTAGTCTGGATCAAACTCTTTCAACTTTATTTGAATTCTATTCTTAAGGTGGTCAAAATTTTTCGCATTAAATCCATTTCCATAAACTTTTGCTTTTAAATGTGCCCAAAAATTTTCAATTGGCCTTAACTGCGGTACATTTGGGGGGTTATCTTTAGCGTCGACAAAGTTAATACCTAAAGTGTTGTAAGTTTCTAATGTGTGTTTTGCATAATGACATCTCGCTCCGTCAGGCCAAAATAAAATTTTCATGTTTTGATGCTTGGAATTTATAAATGGATGAAGTCTTTTTGCAATACATTCTTTAGAATAAGTTTTTGCATCCAGTGCACAGTTTTTTACAGCAAAATAAGGCGATGAATGACCAAAACGACTGATTGCAATCCAAACGAGAACTTTCTCGTCAAACTTTTTTTTGAAGTTGAATTTAATGTTAGGATCAGTTTGAGAACTATCCTTTGTATAGTAGCCAGAGTTTTGTGAACAATTTGCACCATTTACACAGAAATAAGATTCATCGTCCATGATGATTTCAAACTCATTTGATGGCTTGAAAAAAGTTTTTGAAAGTTTTAATAAGTTTTTCTTTTGTTTAATTTCTTGCTTTTCTGTTGTTTTCGGTGCATTTTTACTTTTGATATACTTCAGTCCATGCATACTTAATAATCTATTTACATATAAAACGCTTATCTTATATTTTAGTGCCAATTTTCTTTGCGAAATCCCGATTCTCTCTTCTGCTTTGCATTTATGGACTCTATCTTTTCTGGTGTGATTTTAAAAGGTTTTCTGCCGCAACCGATTTTTCTTTTCATTGGCAAATTATTTTCAGACCTTTTAATTATGTCATAAATTGTAGATTTAGCGATTCCCATTTTCTTAAAATGATCCACTGTAAATTTCTTTCCACTGTTTATGTTTTGTTTATAAAAATTTCCAATCACATTTCTAACATCGTTCTCTTTTAGATGCTCCATGTTTATTTGAATTAATTATTTAAACTCAATTTTGCCACAAAATGAAACTGTTGTTGTTGACCGATTAAATTTAAAAATTTTGAATCGAAAATTCGAAATTTAGAACAATTTGTGTACATTTGAAATCAGTCCGGATTTTTTGTGAACAGACGTTAATGTATTTTGAAAAACATATTTATTCATAATTCGTGTAATTTTTAAAAAAGCTTGGAGGGGATAAACTGCATGCTGACGCCTTTCTTAGCTTGTGGTGACTTAAACTCGTACGATTCAGATATGACATATCCTCTTGAACTTGAAGACGGTAACGACTATATTCAACTTCCGCCAACGCAAGCTCCTATTAAGCCGCCGTATGAAACGGCTTGTGAGCTTAAAAAGAAAAACAAAATTCAAGAAGAAGGACTTTCTGTAAATATTTTAACGTAGCAAATATAAACAATTTTTGTAAAGGTTTTATGAATATGTAGTGCAGGGCCGAACAGTGTGCTTGTTTATAAAACTTTCGTAACTTTTGCGTATTCAAGCAAACTTTAGGAAGATGGTTTGTTTTTTCCTAAAATTTTAATAATTGAATAATAATAGTTTATAATTGAATGAAAATAGTTTAAACTGCATTGTCTCGATGTCTCGATGCAGTTTTGCTCCACAATAGAAATAAATACCCATCTTTGCCTCTTACACACTCAGTTCTAAGGAAAGTAGTCTATGATAATTTCAAAAAATTTGACAAAAGTTAGTTGTTTTTAATGACGTAGGATGTTTGTAATGACTTCAAGTAGGATGTTTGTGATGACTTTAAGATTTCATTCTTGGATTGCAAAGGGATACACAAAAAAATTTTTTTTGCTTATTTTTTTTGCTTATGGGACAGTAGACTTTATGACGATCATTTCAAGCTACAGCCGTTCAGTGTTCTCAAATATTCTCTAGTAGATTTCAAGTCTTAATACCCCCACTTTGTAAAAGTCTTAGATTTTTAAAAAATTTTAAAAGAAATTCGACTTATGTTTTTAAAGATATCTGAGGCAAAGATCAAAGGTGGCATTTTTATTGAACCCCAAATAAAAACGATTTTGAAGTCAGAGAAACTCTGAGCAATTGCAAAAGGTGTAAAAGATTAGCATTTCGTGAAGTAGTACGTGGATTTTTTGGAAATTGCAAAGAACCCAATTACATACAACCTTTTAGAAAGTTTATTAAAAAATTCAAAAAACTGTTTTGTTGTATGTACATAAAGATTCACATGTTGTGTTCACAAATAGATTTTTTCCCCGAAAATTTGGGTGATGTCAGTGAGGAGCATACTCAGCGTAGTAAGGAGAGATTCGAATGATTTGCATTTCTTAAAAACAAAAATTTACACTTTTAAACTTCAATTTTTTGTGTTTTTTGCTTATTTTCGACTATTACTGTTATATATTATTATATTTGATATTGTAAAGGGCTTCATGATAAGATCGTATGATCTTCTGGAAGTCCTGCCGATTATATTTGTAATAAAGCTATTCTGTAATTTTAATTTCTTTTATTGAAGGAAAATAAATTTACAAAAAAAAAGAGTAGCTTTAAGGACAAGAAAACCGTAATCAGTATTCGACGAGTATTCACGCAAAACCTCGGCTTATCGAACAGAGTGCGAGCCAAAAGATATAAAGTTTCAGAGTTTTTTAAAGATTAAAATTTGGCTAGCAATATGCAGCTGCGGTTTGAAATCTCGAGCTTTTGTCAAATCGTCGATTTTAAACTTAAATGTTTACATCAAAAAATACTTGCAAGTTAGACTTTTGGAACTTAATTAAAGTCACGATGTCCCTTGTTGGTTCTGGCCTAATCTTGCTTCTTGTCATTATTCTAAGAAGACATCAAATTCATACCAAAAAGCTAGAATCCATCAATTTGCACACAATTCTGTCAAATCCTACAATTTGCACACAATTCTGTCCCATTGAGAAGTTGATATCGTTTATAAGCGTAAATGTTTGCTTATTTATTTGAAATAATAAAAATATTAAAATAAAAAGCACTTTTATAATTTTCAAGTTCGTTAGATTAAAATAAATATTTTTTATAATTTTTGCATAAGTTAAACTATTTTTCATTTTTTTTTAAATTTTTTATCGTTTTTAATTTAATGATCGCATGTTTTACCCTATGGGCATGGGACATACAAAAGAGGTCTTTTGAACGTCTTTGGAGTGTTTTCATTGTCTTTTGAACGTTTTGGACGTCTTTTGAATGCTCAAAATACGTCTTTTTGAGGTTTTTGAAAAGTTTAAAAGACGTCTTTTTTAAGTACTGTGCCCCCAGGGTAGAATTAAGACTAAAATTGAAATAACGACTTCAGTTTTGGGTAAATAATATATAAAAGAAAGTGTTTATTTACCCAAACAAATTTTCTTTTCAAATGTAATATCTTCTAGTAGTAATACAATAACTTGTAATTAATTGCTGTAATTGGTACAGTTTTGGGTTGGCAAATGTAATTAAAAAAAAATTTTAAACTTTTTTGTTCTTTAAGTTAAGGAGCCGGAGCCGAGCCAAAGGCCAAGCCGGAGCCGGGTATTTCTTAGGAGCCGGAACCGGAGCCGAGTCGTCAAAAACAGTCGGCTCTACAAGCCTGATTTTAATATAAACCTTTTAAACGTAAAAAATGATAATTAAGTCGAACGCTTTTTAAATCTCCTCTATCAGCACAATATTTTACCATTAATTAATAAACCAACTCGCATAACTCGTCAAACTGAAACTCTCATAGGCAATATTTTTACTAATAATTTCTCAAAATATCACACTCAAAGCGGAATGATAAGAACTGATATAAGGGATCATTTCCCCATATTTTTCACATCAAATTCAATATTCAAAGAAAAATCAATCAAGGAATCAAACAAATTAATAAGCATATAATTAATAATTTAATTATATGCTTATTAATACAGTTAATAATTAAACTTAATAACTAAAAGCTTACAAAGTCCATGGATTTCCAAAGGTCTTATCAAATTTTCCAAAAACTATGTAAATATATAAATAAAAACATGAACATATTAGCTGGCAAGACCGCATTAATATCTTAAAAAAACAAAATATCTGAAAATATTGGAATTATGCATAAAACCAGATATATTTTAAATAATGCATTATCTAAAAGTTGCATAAAACCAGATATATTTTAAATAATGCATGCCTTAAAAGTTTTTATTTATATATATACATAGTATATATATATATATATATATATATATATATATATATATATATATATATATATATATATATATATATATATATATATATATATATATATATATATATATATATATATATATATATATATATATATATATATATATATATATATATATATATACTATGTAAATATATAAATAAGGCTTTTAAGGCATGCATTATTTAAAATATATCTGGTTTTATGCATAATTCCAATGTTTTTATATTTTATATTTTGTTTTTTTAAGATTTTTTTTTTTTTATTTCAATTTTTGTCAAGCAACCATTTACAATTAAAGATAATTTCCGTAAAATATTTAGAAATATTAAATACAAGTACATTTCATTATTTATAATAGTTACAAGACCGGAGAACCTGAAGAAGATAAAGTCTTTTCATCAGTAACCTTTGATAATAAAAATCGGAAATAATCGTGTATTGTTAGAAAAAATCATGTAAAGAATCGTGATTGGCAATAAGTTCGATTATGTTCTTTTTAAATTTTTGAGAGGTATTGGCTTCTTTAAGTTTACCACTCAGACTTGTAAAATGGTTCCATAGCATTGGGCCACGATAGGAAATGGCAAAGCTTGTAAGTTTTGATGAACGGAAAGATTTTTTAAATCTTCCGGTAGATCGCGTGTTGTATCGGTTTAATGTTTTATGGAAAATATTTTCGAAAACCTTCGGCGTTTTTTTTGACTGATGTTGAAACATAAATTGTGTAATTTTGAAAATATTTAACTCATAAATATCAAGTGCCCTCATGCTTTTTAAAAGAGGTTTAGCATTTGTGAAGCGATTTTGAAAATGAATAATGCGTGCTGCATGATTCTGTTGTTTAAGGAGACAGTCGAGTTTAGATTTATTTGTACTACCCCAAACAATATTGCCATAAGATAAATAACTATTTATGAATGAAAAATATAGTTGAGTGTAGATTTGTCTAAGATTCGTCTGGTTTTATATAAGATGCCAATACTTCTTGAGATTTTATTGCTAATATGATTTATATGAGCTCTCCAGGATAAGTTTTCGTCTATTAAAATACCAAGTAATTTATTTGTGAATGAGCGCTCAATATTGATGTTATTTATATATAGCATTGGTAAGGATTTTGGAATAGATTGAAACTTTCGTTTAGAATGGAATAAGGAAAACTTAGTTTTATCAGTGTTTAAAGATAAGCTGTTAGCGAAAAGCCAGTTTGATATTTGTTCTAGTTCATTATTTGCTACTTGAAATAGAGAGATAATATTACTGTGAGAATAGAATAAAGTGGTGTCGTCAGCAAACATAATAGTTGACATAGTATTCGATGCTTTATATAGATCGTTGACATAGATTAAGAATAGCAACGGACCTAAGATGGAGCCTTGTGGAACCCCACATGATATTTTAAGTTTGTTTGTCTGAAAACCATCGTTAAGAGAAATAAACTGCTTTCGATCAGTTAAGTAACTGGTAAACCATTTATGGTATTCGTGGCTTATTCCATAATATTTTAGTTTTTCTAATAAAATCTGATGATTAACGGTGTCAAATGCTTTTGACAAGTCTAGGAATATACCTAAGGTGAACTTGTTATGAGAAGATGCTTCACTGATAACTTCAACAATTTGCATAAGTGCATGTTCCGTAGAGTAATTTGATCGAAAACCATATTGGTTCCAATAAAGAAGATTGTTATCATACAAAAATGCAAATATCCTATTATACATGATACGTTCGAGGATTTTTGAAAATACAGGTAATACCGATATAGGTCGATAATTTGTAACCAGACTTTCATCTCCTGATTTAAAAATGGGTGTAATAATTGCAACTTTTATTTTTTCTGGAAAAACACCTGTTTTAAGCGATTTGTTAAAAATATCTAATAAAACATCTTTAATAAGTTCGTAGCAGTCTTTGATTATGCTTGCTGAAATAGCATCATAGCCTGTTGCTTTATTTTTATTTAATTTTTTTATTGAATCATCAAGTTCTTTACTAGTGAGTTTTTTAAATGCTAAGCTTTTATCCGACTTTGATAGATAGCTCAAGAAATGTGCAGGAGTGTGTTTAATTTTGCTGGCTAAGTTTGGACCAATATTTACGAAAAACTCATTAAATTTTGTTGCCACCGATTTTACATCAGAGATCTGTGTACCGTCTACAGTAATCACGCTTGGTAAGGCTCTGTTGTGTATTTTTTGTTTTCCAAGAATCTCTTTAATAGCATCCCACGTTTTTTTGCAGTTACCTTTTAGTTCTAACAGCTTGTTTTTGAAGTATGTAGTTCTGGCAATTTTTTTAGTTCTTTCATATAGACGTTTGTGCTCTAAGTAATTATGCTTATCACGTTCTTTCTTTCAATTAATAAAGATATAATGTAATTAATAAGATATTAATGTGGTCTTTCCAGCTAATATGTTCATCTAATAATACCCCGAGAAATTTAACTGAAAACGCTCGATTTAGTCTAACTTTGTCTAATAGAATATCTGGAAGTTTTAATGGTAGTTTTTTATAGAAATAAACACTTTTTTTTATTATTTTAGATATTTTAGTGTAAAATGGGAGACAAAAATTCATAAGAGATAGACGACTCAAAAACATCTAAAAAAATAATTAAAGAACCGAACTTCTATGATATTGAGAATTATTTATTATCAGGAATTTTTCCTGAACATTTACAAGGAAGAGACATTGAGACATTGAGACGAAGATTAAAACAACAAGAATTTAATGCAAACAAACGTTTGCATTAAATTCTTGGTCTAAAAAGTGTACTGAGTAATAATGATGAAACTATGGTTGTAACTGCAGCTCAGTATTGTGAAAGGTCTTCCATTAGATTCTCTTGACATTTGTAATTTAGTAGCTCAATTTTGCACAGCCATGAGAATGAAAACTCCTTTTAAAAAAAGAAATCATGGGAAAAATTGGATAATTTCTTTTATGTTGATAAACTTTGATTACGTAAACCTGAAACGCTTACATTTTCAAGAGCTAAAAGTTTAACACATGAAGTTGTAGATAATTTTTTTACTATTTTATCTAATGTAATCCATAATAATAACATTGTAACAAGTAGTATATACAACCTTGATGAGACTGGGCTCTCCACAAATCATTAACGAAGAGAGTATTTGTACATCTAAAAAGCAAAGATGCTTATGAATTGGCTGCTTCTTCTGGTAAAGCTATCTGTTCGGTGCGGTTCTGAGTATCTGCAGATGGAAGATATCTTCCGCCATTTGTTGTTTTTAAATGAGAAGGCTATCTGTATTCTAAATGGATAGAAAATGGACCACCAGGATGTGCTTTTGGTACAACAGCAAGTGGATGAATGCAAGACTTTCTATTTGAAAATTGGTATTTTAGCTGTTTTTTATAATTTTCATTTTTTTTCCTCCAATTGTTTTTTTTTCTTTTTTTGTTGCTGCCTTTGTTGTTCTTGAAGATGGTACAAATGATTCAATAGAAGTAAATACATTTTACGTTTAGATTTGTTGAGCACTCTATACCGTTTGTTGACCAAGATCAAAAACCAATACTCTTGCTTTATGATGGTCATGGCAGTCATTTAACATATGGTACCATAAAAGCGGCCATGGACAACCATATCCAAATTGTTTGTCTTCCACCAAATTTCTCACACGCATTACAACCATTAGATGTGGCTGTATTCAGACCATTAAAGAATTAGTGGAGAAAAATTTTAAAGCGGTTTTCAAGAGAAACACTGTAAAAGCTGTCTTTTCAAAATTATTGATAAGACAGCTTTTACAGGATTATTGAAACAACTGTGTCAGAGACACTCTCCAGCAAATGCTATTTTTTGCAGGATTTCGCTTTACAGATATCTCACCATAAAGTAAAAAAAAAGATGGAAAGAAGAATAACAGGTATTGACTTTCTCAATCAATCACCTGAACGTTATAGCCCTAAATCTCCAAGATTACGAACACTACGATTGGCTATACGAGAAGCTTTAAGGTCAATCATATGTCCTAATGTATCTGCAGAAACAGCAGCAATAATAGAACAACAAAAACAAAAAAGGAAGAGAATATAATCAAAATGTGGAGAACTCTTTACAAATGAGAAAGTCAAACAACGGTTACTTGAGGAACAAAAAGTTAGAGAGGAAAAAAAGTTAAAGTTAAAAAAAAGTGTACAAAAAAAACTATTACCTCTACTGAAGTAGCAAAGAAATACCCAAAAAGATCTAAGAAGTGCCCAAAATAGCACGAATGTTACCAGAAAAGTGCAGTGATCAAAAAAATAGTTATTTTTTTATAAAACACATTATTAAAAGATTATTATTTCCGTTATTAATCACCTTTTTTTTTTTTTTAGTTCTCTGAGTTTTTAATTTTTATTGTTGTGCTGTGTATGTATGCACTTTCTTTTTAAATAAAAATATCTTAAGACTATTTTTTGAATTAAAACCTCGTATATATACTATAATTAAGGTGCTGGCATATAGAATGTATCTCAGATTTTTCATAAGCAGCAGTATTTTAAACCGGAACTGCCAACATTTTATGTATAAAAGCATCTTCAAATAAAGGCTCCTTAAAACTAGTTATAGTATTTTTAGTAATAGTTTTTTGTTAAATTTGTTTAGCAGGATGCCCAATCATGATTTTAAGACATCTTTTGTCAGAAAGCCGATACCTAAACATTGCTTTTTTTTTGACTCAAAGTCACAAATATGTAAAAATAGGATCAGATTACCCCACCCTACCCTATTTAGAATAGGCTAATTTTGTAAATTATGCCAATTGTTTTGTTTTGTTTATTTTTGATTCAATGTATTTTATGTGAGGAAGTCAAGATAAGTTTTTATTTACAAAAACTCCTAAGTATTTTAATAAATCCTACTTTTAAATTTGTTTATAAAGAGAGCGGGTAATTTAAGTGATTTTTTTGTGTTTTTTTATAAAATAACGAATTTTATTTGTGTTTATTGAGAGCTTCTTAGCTCTAAACCATTTACTTACTTTCATCAATTTAATATTCATCTCCATATAGCTGATTAATATTATTATTGGACATAAATAAATTGGTATCATCAGCATACATAATTGAATTTAATTTTGCAGATACTTTGAAGAGAGCCGAGGATTGAACCTTGTGAAACTCCACACAAAATGTTTACTGTACCAAAATTCAGATTGACTACATACTATTTTCGGTTAGTAAGGTTCGTCATCTTTGTGTTCGCACCAATTATATTTGCAAAATTTATTTCTCGTTTTTTCATTATCGCTTCCGTCTTTTTTTCAAATTCATCAAACATATCCTTAACATTAATCAACTTTTTTATTTCCATTAGTGTTACTGCCATATTTACTGAATCTTGTATTTTATTTTTTGCTTTTACCACGCTTATTAACACAAATAGAACTTTTAGTTTTTTGCTAACAGTATTAACCGATAGGTTATTACTGTTAGCAAATCAGCTGTAAAATGAGAAGATCAAAATCCATATTAATGATCAGAAAGTAAGTTATTAGATTCAACTTTGCTTATGATAGGAAGAAGACTAATAGAACGGTAGAAAGAGGAGTCAGTTCGCTCTCCAGAGTTTTTCAAAATAGAGATAGCAGATGCTGCCTTTCAGCAGGCTGAAAAACAAGACTCTGATAAGCACTTCTTAAATAGTTTTAAAAGTATAGACGATTATTTAGTCTTTAATGATCAGAACTAAAGACCACAATTGGCCAGGTGAATAAAAAAAAGCAATTACTTTTAGCAAACTCACTCAAATTTTTATTCACGTAAACCTTAGCAATTTACTCCAACAGCGCTGAGTAATTGTTCAGTTTTACGTGAATAAAAGTTTAAGCAAAACTGCTAAAGTTTTTATTCATGTAAAGCTGACCAATTACTGAATAAAAAAAATTCTTTTTTTAATCCACCCGGCGCAATCGCTTGAGGCGCTTCAAGATAAAAAATTTCAAGTTGAATTAGTTTGTCGTTTAGAAGATTTTTTTCATTCCAAATGCGCTGCAATATACTCAAGATCTCAACATACAAATAAAGGTGTCAACACACTTGCGATGTTGTGCATGTGCTTATATAGCTATGAAAAAATCTTTTATGTTAATATCCAAAAATGATTTAATTTAGGTTGTTTTAAAAATGTGCAATATTTTAAGTTTAATCGGTTTGTGGTTGAAACGCTAACCATATAAAATAGACTTTTAGACCCAGTATTAATAGTTCATCATCGTAAAAGTGTTACTTGTTAAAGAATGTTTCTTAATAGTTGATAAACTGATTTATAATAAAAACAAGGAAACTTTAACACCTTCCCCCTCCATATGTATGTATGTATAAATACATACATACATATATATATATATATATATATATATATATATATATATATATATATATATATATATATATATATATATATATATATATATATATATATATATATATATATATATATATAGTGTCATTGTTTACATGTTTAGTAGTTGCATTAGTATTATTCATATTACTTTTCTAGCCTATGTAAGAAACAAATTTTACAAATAAAAATACTTAAGTGTTAGTCTTAAAAGTTAATCAGTAGAAAATATTTCCTAGAATCTTTTAGTACTCGATTACTTGTTAATTGGCGCCTGTAAATTTTTTTTTCTTTAGGAGAGGTATTTTAAATTTAGTAGTGTGCTACACTAAATCTTCTTTAACACTTAAATATTTTTAACATTGCCCAAAAAAGTTTACAAGAAAATAATTTTTAAAATTTTCAAAATATAAAAAAACCGCCTAAAATCTACGATGAAAAAATACAGCTAAATATATTTATTCTTCCATTAAAATATCTTCATTCTCCGTAGAAACATTTGGCATTTTAGTTGACAGTATATATTTTAAAGAATAATAATTGCCTTCACATCTAAAAAAAATGTAAAGCTTATATATATATATATATATATATATATATATATATATATATATATATATATATATATATATATATATATATATATATATATATATATATATATATATATAACATTATAAATTAACTAAAAAATAATTATAAAGCGTTTTCATATGCAAATAACGCACTTTCATAAATAAAGCACAAAACCAATATATATATATATATATATATATATATATATATATATATATATATATATATATATATATATATATATATATATATATATATATATATATATATATATATACACATATACATACAAATATAAAAATAATTTATTGCTCAGTTGTCTGCATTGTTTATCATGCAAACACGATAAACATACAAACAACATAAAACTTTTTCTTGTTGCTTTCTTACAATAACTTGTTATTGTTTTTCATTTGCGAATCTAATACGAATATTATCTTCCATTATATTCGCTTTTAGTTTTTTTTTTTTTAATGTTTTTTTTCAATTTTCTAATTTATAATCTTTAATATTATTATTGTTTTCACTTTATTAGTTTAAATCTTTTTCAAATTTTCTATTATAAACAATTTTATTTATTTTATTTTCCTCCTTTATTTTTTTTTTTCCTCTTTGCCGTTCTTTGTTTTTCTTTTCGTTCTACACTTCCTCCATTTGCGATGTCATCGCAATATGAAAATTTAAAAATTTAATTGAATGAATTTAAAATTTTAATTTAACTTTAGCTAAGAATAGTAAAGTTATGACTTTTAATATTGAAAACTCTCAGGATTTTTGCTGGAAAATAGTTGTTTATTTCAACTTTCAAGTTTCTATAATTGTTTATTAGAGCAACTCTGCAGTGTACAAAAAAATTTAAGAAAATTTCAAGTTTTTATAGAAAAGAAATTCTATTTTTGTCCGTTTTTCGGAAAATTATCCCTGATAGCGGACAGCTTCATATTACATGAAAAAAACCATAGATAAATTGATAAATTCAATATATATTTTTTAAATGTTAAAAAATAAAATAATAATACAAACAAAAATTAAAAAAAAAACACGAGCTTGACCTTGAAATAAAAGAAAGTATTTATAAATTAGATGTTGCAACTTTTTGTGCAAACGAATTCTTTGCACGAAAAGTTACTTTGAAGTTAGTGTTGCAGTTAGGGGTTAAAGTTGGAGTGGCAGACAGAATTGAGGTTTGTATTTGCTGAGCAGCTTGAGGTAAAGACCTTGGACTGTGTGGCGATTTTGTAATTGTTTATGATGTTATTAAAGTGTTATTAAGAGTTTGTCATTTTCATTTGTCGATGTTGTCTTGATTTGATGAAAAGTGCTTTCAAAACCGGCAACAATTTAAGTACAAGTGTAAGCTTTGTTACAACTATACATCTGTGAGAGAGATTTGAAACTAAGAAACTTGGGAAAACTTTTTTGGACAAATTGCTGAAACCACTTTCAGCATAAAATTACCTTAAAATATCACATCAAACATTTTTGACATGGCAAAATACAACAACATCAAGAGGCTGCAGAATGAAGAATGAACGGCAGAAATGTAAACTAGAATTATATTGTTTTCTTTACACTTCAAGGTTGCACTTAATGAAAGGTGTATACTGTGGCCAACCAAAACTAAAATATGATGACCACCTATTTTTTTAATATGAGGAATAAACATTTCATTGAGCAATTGCAAAAATTGATAACTTTCCATCCAACCAGATGGTGATGTTGTGTAAAGTTTTATGTGTTTGGTTCTTTAATCTAATCATCATAGAGTTCTTTGATTTGTAAACAACAAGACGGTAGAAGGAATTCGTTGGCGTTAAAGCAATTAAGAACAGTGTAGTTTATTTTTTCGTTATTTCCAGTTAATACTAGGGAATACTTTGCGCGTCTTTTAGTAATTACTTTTCGAATTACCTTTGTCATCATTGAAACCAGTTACATCACAATAGCACAAATGCATATCTTTACTAAAACCTAAATTTGCTTAACCTAAGATGCTTAACCATGTTTTTTCAAAACAAAAAAATAATAATTTCTGTACATAACCCTGCTCTCAAAGATGCAATATTTAAAACTGTCCCTTCACTAAGTTCTGAGTGTCATCAAATCATAAAACCTTTGCACAATTTACAATCAGGCATTCTATTTTTGAACAAACACGCTTTATCATTTTTAATTAAATAATCTCTGACTAAACTTTGAACTTAATAAAAGAAATTTAATCACTGTGAAAAAATAATAAAAAAATTCAATTGGAGTGAAAAAATAATAATCAGATTAACCTATTAAATTTTACAATATATAAAATCACAATATTAGAAACCTTTTCGATATCAATTACAATTAATTACAAAAAATAATATTTATGAGGTTTTTTTAAATCTAGTGTCATTTCATTAAAACACATTTAGGGTAGGTGTCGAACAACATCCTAAACTTGAGAACTTTATATTTATATATAGGTTTTCTTAATAAAATAAAAATGACACTGATCAACATTACCTCTTCAAAGTAATTTCAAAGCAATCTATTCTAATGCAAATATTGACCTAGCTTCAAAAAAAGCACCCCCATTTAAAATAATTATTACTTTTGCTGAATTCCGTTGAAAGGATCTTTTAGACTTTACATTTTTTTAGAAAGTGTTATTAATATCATATAAGTGTTATTAATATCATATAACTGCTGGTAATATCATAATAATGTAAAAAATACTTACATCGAAGAAATCGAAGAAGAATGTCTAATTAAACTTTTTTGAATTAACCTAAGATCAGGCATTAAAGTTGCTGAATGATTTTTTATATAAACCCCTCTGGATGACAATAAATGTTTTGTCCATGTTAAATAAAACTGTATGTGTTTAGAAGCCTCCAACTGTTTACCAACAAAACAAATCATTTTACTAATATAATCTTCACGAATACTTTTTGATATTACTGCAACTAAAGAGTAAAATTTGTATATTAAATACTTTTAAAGAATGTTCATCTAAAAACTAACACAAAAAAGTTTTTATTAAGTATTTTAGTAAATTTAAAAATCAACTCAAAAAAATATTTATAGAATATTCTAGTAAACCTAATTACCTACCAAAAGATAGAAACTTTTTTTGTTTTTTTTTATTAAATCCCCAAACCTAAGAAGGCCACTTCAGACAAGGAGGCTACTTAATTGTGGTTATAATCCTCTCTCAACTCTATAACTCTGAAACACAAACCTTGACAAACAAGGTTGCTGCACAAAGAAACAATTTAGGCGCGGTACTACTAGGGACGTGGCGGGGATCGAACTCAGAACCTCTCGCTTATGAAGCGAGCACTCTACCACTACACCACTAACATATTTAGTTCTACCACTACACCACTATCACAACTTAAAGTAGTTAAACAATAAAACTAATATCTTTTTCAAATTTAATTTACTTTACACAAATTAATTACTAAAAACAAAATAGTCCCAGAATAATCATATAAATGATAAAAAACAACAAAAACAAACTAACATCCAGTATTATATACTGGGTGTTTGTTGTTGTTGTTACACATACAAATTTGCAATACACATCCCTGATGCGTGGAGCAAATACTTTTTTTATATTAATAGATTTTTTATTGATTCTATTAGTATAGACCCTGATTTTTTTCAAATATTTTCTTTCTAGTAATATGTGTAACTTTTGTAATTCTAATAGGTTTCTCTTAGGGCCCTGCTAATTGATTCGATTTACAAATCAATTGCGCTACGATTCAAAAAAAAAATGATTCCAGTTTTTCAAATCACTATTTATTTTGTGAGTGTTATTGTTTTTTCAGATATACAACGCTAAGATGCTATCAAAATATTTTTATTTATCTCAGCCAGAGTAATTTCCTAAAAAAATGAAGCTTAAACTCGGATTTACTCATATTACTGATTCGATTTGATTTGCAAATCAAGACCCACTTTGATTCGAAACTAAAAATGCCGATTCGCAGGGCCCTAGTTTTGCTGTAATTTAGTTTTATGATCGGATACTGTGAATCTAGTTTTGTGACTGGATATTGTGCACTTAGTTTTGTGATACTGAGTGTTGAAGTATTTGTAATATATTACACATAGTATGTGAAAAACATGGAAAAAAACCATTTTTAATTAACCAATTAAAACAAATGTTTATATATTCAAATTTGTAACTTTCAAGAAAATTAAAAAAAAAAATTATTAAAAAAAAAAAAATTAGGGATGGTAAATTAATAGGTAAATAAACATTGGTAAATAAAAAATAACATAATCAGATTGTATACTCATTCCCTTATTGCAACACTTGACTATGCAAAATAATGAATAAAAGAATTTTTACTTCATTTAAAAAAAAAAAAATTTGTTTAGGGTATACCCATGAGAGTTTAATGTTTTTAACTTTTTAAAAACATTAAGTAATGTTTTTGAATTCCATTAATCAAATTAACATACTGATTAGAGAATTGAGGGGTATTTAAATAATTTCTTATAACTAGCCTCACACTCCTTCTTTATATAATTGATTGGCATAGATGTAAACATGTGTTATGTTTCCTACCTAGAGTAATTAATGCAAGATCTTCTTATCTCTACTTATGGGATTTTGTTGTGCTTTTTTGGTAGTGGCTATACAACTCTTATTGTTGTCTTCTGAAGATATAAAGCAGAGGAGTCAAAAAAGCATTTCCATTAATAAATATAAGAATGTCAACAATATTGTGATAATTTTATACAGTAAATAATAGAGTTTTGTTTGGGCTAAGATTCACCAAGGACCGGAAACTGTTCAAACGGTTACAGACAAGAGATCAAGTTCAAGATCAGCTTCTAAGTAATCAAAAAGTGATACATTTTTGTCAAGAGTTTACAATTGTGTCATCAGCAAACAGAGGCACATTAGAGGTAAGATTATGAGGAAGACATTAATATAGATACAACTCAGAACTAAGGATGGAACTTTGTGGTATTCCAGAATTTACTGAAAATGTAGGAGAGTGTTGTCTATCAAGGACTACTGCACCTAGAAATGATTAAATAATTTTAAAAGAGTTTTTGCCAAGACTGTGACAGGAATGTTATCTGGACCACAAGCTGTAAAACAGTTTCTGTGTAAAATAACTTTAACAACAGAAGAAGGAATGATTTGGATGTCTAATAATGGATTTTTAGGGGGTCAGGAAAAGAGAGGCTATTAGATTCAAGAAATGAGTTAGAGGAAAAGCTCTTAGCAAATAGTTCTCCCTTATCCTAGTGAACGATAAAAAGATTAGATCAATGTATGAGAGATGCTATGCTAGACTTGCTATTATCAATAACGTAGTTAAAGATTTTCTGAAGGAATTTAGAACCTAACTTCTGACATAAAATACAAGGTTTTGTAACCTAAGATTAATAGACCTTTGCTTCAGGCAGTACCTTTTGTATTCAATAAAAATAATAAATAATGCAATAAAAAAGACATTTGTTCACTAGAGAGTTGTTCTTGTAGAAAAGATTAGAAAAAGTAACAAAAAGAAGAGTAAGGCTTGACGTGAAACCAACAAAAGGTAGAGTAAGGCTTAGCATGAAACCAACAAGAAGCAACAAAACCTTACATGCTTTCTTGAGACCAGGAGATTATAAACAAGTGCACGTAAAAGACTAGTAAATGGATTCAAACCTAATTTTATGACATGTAAATGACAGGCATACATATGCCCAGGCCATGCATGTGACTATTGGAATCTTTGCAAATCAAATATTAAAAAACATTAACACTGAGATCTAAAGATGACACAGCTAAATTTAAATTCATCTCACAAATAGCAAGATAAATTTTACAAGAGATAAAACTAAATGAATAAAAAATTATTTTGAAGATGTTACTTTTACAAATATTTATAAAAGTTGTATTGAAACAATTTGATGACAATATGGTTTTTTTATATTAATATTATTATCAATCATTCGAGCACAACATGGTACTATTATTAACTCCAATATTTTACAGCTGTTGATGGAATCAGCCTCTCTGAGAACCACTACAGAGTTTAGAAAACCTAACTAGCAGCTGGCCTTAGAACCATTAAAAAAAATTTTAGAGTTGTATTTTAAAACTGTACCATCATTAGGAGATAACAGAAAAAGTTGCATACCATTATCAAGGAGGCACAAGCAAAAACCCATGAGCAGAGTCAAAAAGATCCAGGATTCATCACTTTAGGCAAGAAAAAATATAATAGGTTTACACCTATGACAATCCATTATATGAAGGTGTGCAAGGCTGGTCAACAAAAATTTTCTGATCATTAAGTAAGCCCCAATATTTACAGACATTTTTTTTATAGTTGTTGAACTATTGATTTTAAAACATTAATTTTTCCAATAAAATTCTTACAATATTAAAAAAGATGAAATTTCTGATTAAAAATAAACTTTACCACATTACTACGAAGTTATGGACTGGAGAATTGTTTTTTGAGATGGATAACCTTATTTTGGGATACTCTCATTTTTACTAGACTTTTTTTTTTTAAAGAAATTTTTAAAATTCATTAAATAATAAACTTTTAATTTTGATATAATTATAAATTTTACTTAATAATAAAGATCCTTTTTGTAATGTTCAATTAATACTAATAATTACTGATGTACTAATAATGTGCTAATAATTACTGATGTTTTATTGTTAATTAACTAACAAGATAATAGAAAGAGTTCTTACTATCACATATTGGTATACTCTCCACTACTTCTTCAAGTTGTTTGTGTTCATTAAGACGAAATGCATAATTTAGAGCAAGAGCAAAATTTTTTTCTGTTATTAATTGTGTTATACGCTCCGGTGTTACGTCAATATCTAGATCTTCTGGACGAAAGGTTAGTGAGCCATCAAGTGAAAAAATTAGAAGTCCTTCTGTGGTAGCTGCTGACCATTGGCGACCTGAGAATCAAAACTTGAAAACAATAAATTCTGCTAAAAAAAGTTTTTTTTACAACTCAACAACTTATATTGAACTCACCTGTAGGTGAAAATCGAAGACATTTTGTTTGGATTTCTGGCTGTACTTTTCTGGAGCACATATCTCCTGAAAAAAGAGATATTTAAAAATTACAAAAGAAAAAAAAAAAAAAAAAAAAAAAAGAATAAAGTTACTTGTGTAAAATAAAAGGTGGCATACCTTTTTTAACACCTGGTAAACTGATATCATTTTTACTGTCATCATCATCATCACTTTGTTTATCTAGATCGATCATGTCAATGGCTCCAGCACTACTTATATTTTTGCTGTGAAGATATCGCTTAAAAATACATAATATAAAAGATTCATAATATCAGAAAAAATATATGCTAAGTTTAAAATAAAGATTTGGGAAAATATATAAAATTACCATCATTCCATCTAAAGATCTGTTGGATGAAATTCCAAAGCGACGTAGCAATATCTAAAGAAAAAAAAAACTTTTTTTGTATTAATAATATTTATTTTAATACGAATATATTCATTATAAGACTTTGATATTACTTTAAATAATATTTATAGATACTACATTATTATTGAGAAAAAATAAAGCGACAATAAGTTAAATATTTTTATAAACAAATCACACAGTAAAAAAACTATTAATGTTATGGTTAAAAATAATCAATAATAATAATAGTAATAATAATAATAAAAAATAGATTGTTATAAAGATGGTATTTAAAAACAGAAGTTAGAAAAAAATATATAGCAGATTTTTTAATAGATTTAATACAATGTCTCCAGGAGAGGTGAGAGGTGAGAGGTGAGAGGTGAGTAGTAAAAGATAACTAAAGAAGACAAATTAAAACACAAGTTTAAGCAAGTTTTCCTTTTTATAGTATAAATATTTTTGTGATAAAAATAACTTTTTATTTTTATCACAAAAACATTTATACTTTAGTATAAATGTTTTTTATACATAGTATAAATGTTTTTTATATTATAGTAATAATGTTTTTGTTTTGAGTTTTATTTTAGTAACAATTTACTAATTACAGGGAGCCACAAACACTTACATTTATTTTGGAAATAATATGTTTCATGGCTATACTTTAAAATATAAATTAAAATGTAAAATATAAGCATCCTATTTTCTACATTTTAAGAGATTTTAAAAGTTATCCCACAAAAAAGCAAGTGCCCCATCAATGTAAAGCTATTTTGCATCTCTTTTTTTTTTATTGGTAATTTAATGTTTCCAATATATCAATTGCACATGGTAAACTTTTGTAAGTTTTGCGGTTTTTTGTGTTTAATGCAATGGGATTTAAAATGCAAGTAATAATATAAACTTATCAAATAAATTGCTGCAAGTATGATATTGCAATGATATAAAAAAATCATAAACCTTAAAAATAATAATTTATTTAGTGGTTTTTAATTAATAAAATAAAAGAATGTCATAATAATACAAGCTTTTTATAATTTGTAGAACTTCATTTTGGTCAGGCAATTTTAATCCTATTATAGTGCTAGCAACAATGATAGCCTTTCCTAAAATATTTAATTTTAGCAGCCATTAGGCAATCTCAGATGCTCAAAATTTTATTCAATCATCTTCTTTGTATACCTGATTAGCTCTAAAAAGCCAAATTTTTGAAAGAATTTCATTTTTTCTTTACTTGCAAAAATCCGATTCTGATGCCGGAATTAAAGATAACCCACTAAATTGAAAAAGTGCTAATTAAAAAAGTGCTAAAATCGAGAGTTTATTGTTATATATTTATATTTTACTAATTAAACAATATTTATTACTATCCTTAGGCAAGTTTTCAATTTAAATAATAATAGGAAAAGGGAACAGTTTGACCAAAATTGAGAAAGATCAAAACATTTCACTTAACAAGGCATCATTTTAGCGCAGAAGGACAATAGCCATATTGGCGAGAAATCAAGATTTGGACAAGTCAATGATACTCTTTCTGCGTATTTGCTACCCTTTGCTCATTTAAAGTACAGTGTTGACTTTTCCAGCAGGATAAAGCAAGCATTCATTCCTCATCAATGACAAAAGAATAGTTTGAAGAAATGAATATTGATGACTTGAATTTCATTGAAAACCTGTGGGGGATCATTGATTGAAAAGTTTATACCTCTGGGAAGCAATTTGGGTCAAAAAACGAGCTGACTGTTGCAGTTAAAAAGCTTAGAATAAAATATATAACAATCCACTTCTATGTCTGGTTTCTTCAATACAACAACATCTGTAGATAAGTTTGCTGCTCATAACATCCATTACTGTTCTACAATTAGAAGTTGCTAAGACTTTTAGTAAATTTGTTTTCAGAAATTAAAATCAATCTTTTAGCCTTATTGAAAGAGCCTTTCTCATGGAATATTTTTGAAACTATATATCAAAAACTACTAAAAATTTATAAATTTTCCTAAATATAGCCCATTATTAGTGGATAAAATTTTAAGCGTCCAAGATTGCTTATTGGCTGCTAAAATTTAAATTTTCTACGGTGTGCTAACATTATTACCAGCACTATATAAGTTTTGAATGAATTGTTTTGTCACTGTAAAGATGAAAATAATTTAAAATTGATTTCTTTTGATTTTACTATTCTTTTTTTTTAAAAAAAAGCTGCTCTGGTTAGCTGCTCTGGTAAGCTGCTAGGAACTAAAGTATTTCAATTTAGAAAACTGGTTACTTTGATTCAAACAAAATGGTGGCTTGACAAAACCAAATTTATTTCCAATAACAGTGCAATCAATTATTAATCATCAGAGCAAACTGTGATTTAAAGTAGTCTGTCTATTTTTATTAATTAAATCATGTTTTTTTTAGTTGAACCATCTTTGGTTAAAAAAAAATCAATCATTAGATATTCCAATTTTCTCTCCCCTACTAAAGTTTGTACAAACATGTAAGAATATTATATTTCAGCATATAAATAAATAGCAAACATATATGTTTATTAGGGTTATGACTTTTTATCAACCCCATGCTCCTGTACTGTAGTTTGATAAACTTTTACCTAAATGGCACGAAATGAACTATTATTTGCATATCTTTTCAAAAAAGTTCACCTTGTCATTGAAAAATCAATTTTGATATAAGTACTACTATGTATTCAAATGTATTTAGAATGTCATAGTCATGTAATGCAATAAATTTTTCAATCCAACAATGACTCAGACCATTGACCTTGCTCTTGCTTGCTGCACAGAAGGAATCGAAGATGCAATTTGTCTTTGTTTTTGCATGATGAATAAATTTCCTCCATTACTTTGATTGCGCGCTCTGCACATTGATTACTTCTGGGTATCTGTAGTATGGATGGCTCTCGCTTCCAATGATTTTTCAAAGAGCTTGAAGCCTTTTTGCATGGATTCAGTATTTCAGCCAAATTAATAAAATCGTTTGTGGTACAGTTGGTCTGTAAACCAATGGTCTGCCCAGCCATACAATATAAATCAACATACTCTCTGCAGAACTGTCCTTCTTGAAGGAATTAAAATGAAGGCCAGGATCGCTAGTATAGCTCTGGATTTCCACCTCGCATTGCTGATGTTGGATATTTTTAGAAACCTGATCAATGGAAAATTTCCTTTTTCCTCGAAAAATCAGAACACTCAAGCAAGATGAAACAAAAATTTCATATCATCTCTCCAGCCTGATATTTCGAGAATTACTTCTGTTTCGTTATCAATTTGTGTTTTCAGTTTACTCCTTCAACAGTTGTGATACAAATGGATATTCGATGTTTGGCGATTGTGTTTCACTTCCAAGTTCTTTATCCATCACCAAACGGAGGATTCCATCTAATACATGGTGTTGACAACTGATAAACTGATGTTGGTTGATGCGTTTCTTTGTGAACATTCGTTGCAATATTACAACACCATTCTTTTTTCCAGTGTTAACGCTGGTGGTATCTGCAACAATCATCTGTATTGAATTCCATAGGTAAAACTCATTAAAGACTTTAGAAATTCCTTGAGCAATAGTTAAAGCCCTGCCATCTACCAAGCCAAGGACATCCAATTTGATTTCTCTTCTTTCATTTTTAAGGATGATAATCCACTTGACAATCCATTCGGTTGATGTGCTTGTCATCAAAGTGTAAGGACCAACTTTCCATATGCAACTTTTTAATCACTTAGCTTGATTGCCTCTTTGATTGTTGACTTGTAAATAGCTTATTGACATGGAGTTGGGATGTCAATGTCTTCACGAGCCAATTGCTTGCATATGTTAGCAGCTTTGTTTGTACTTTGTTTGTTGATACTCTTGTGGAGGTCACCAAGTTGACTGCAATTTTGCTTTTACGATGTTTTCTGCTTGGTGTAGAAGTTGTCTCACCTTCTTCTTCATTGTTTTCATATTTACTGTCGTCAGTCTCAGAGTCAGAAAAAGTTTATTCTTCCACAATTTGGTGACTTTTTTGGAAATTTCCATTATTCGCTTCTTTCTTCCTTTGATTTTTGGTCCAAGGAAATGGTAGCATCCGAGAGGCATTCTGCACTTTTCTTCCAGTGAATATTCTTTTAAAGGGACCATTCTCCTTTTTTTATGAGTCTTTAATTTTTACCAGATTATTGGTCCAGATATCCTTGTTCTTCTGAATGCTACTATCGCTAGGCTTGTACAACACCATGTGTTGTTTTTGCTTTAAAATTAGATAAGCATCTATATATAATATAGTCTAAAATGTTCTAGAATATTCCAGAACGTTCTAAATTGTTCTAGAGTGTTCTAAAATATTTTAAATTGTTCTAGAATGTTCTGAATTGTTCCAGAATGTTTTAAATTGTTCTAGAATGTTCTAAAGTCTTCTAAAATATTCTGTTATTTCTAAAGTTCTAAACACTTCTAATCTATACAAGTTTTAAATGATTTGCAGGAAAGCCACACATATTAGTAGTAGCAGTAACAAGATTAAATAAATGACGAAAAGTAATTTAAATTGCGAGGTGACCTTTTTTTACAACTGAGAGGAATTAAACATGTGTTCAATGTTTTCTAATTAAGTTCATCAATTTATGACACAGGGAATTAATATTTTTTCAAAAAGTCAAAAACTCATAACCTAATGTTTATATACATATATATTCATATAATATGCCAGTGTTTAATAAATAGTAAATATATACATAAATTTATAATATATAATGTACTATAAATTTTGTCCTAGTTCAGGCTATCCACCTCTGCTAAATCTTATAATTTTGTTGGAGCCAAGTTTGTAAAAAGTTCCATATTTAGCTGGCGCCATGGCCCTGGTCTCTTACTATTTTAAAATAAATATAATACTTACTTGTTGTTCAACATGATATATACAAACATATTTTGATCGACCACCTGCTAATACACATTGGCCATCTGCAGAATAACACAAACTTGTAAAACACCTATTAAAACAAAATAATAACAAAATAAATAATGCTTAATAATTTTTAAGTAATAAAAATTGATTTATTCTGATAAGAAAACACATTCCAACAAAACACATTCCAATAATAAAACACATTATATACTTATAATCATATTTACAATTAAACACTTTCACCCATAATTAAACACTCATATCCATAATTAAAAAATCTGTTAAAAGACATTTTAACATATTTTTTAATTATAAAGTTAAAGATATAAAAAACAAAAATAAAATACGCAAAATTAAAATAATGATGTGTTAGGTTCAGAATTGCTAGCTTTGTTAGTTTTTTTTAGCAGTTGTTTTTTTGATTTTTATTATTGATTTTTTTTTTAATTTGAATGAGTGAGTGAAGCCATTGAAGCTAATAAAGGTTTCTATACACTATCTTTCAAAATTAAGGAAACAAGTGTTTAAATTTATAAAAACAGTAGAGTACTTTAATAACCATTTCAGTTATAATATTAAAAATGTTTAAGTAAAATATAGTGTAATCAACTATTTTATGGGAGGTAAGTATACTTTGAAATACCAATATATCAGTAAAACTGCAAAAAGTAAAAATATGCTAATATTTTAACTCCAAAATTAAAGGATCTTCTAAGAGTATACCATCAAAAGTATATCAGATCAATAACTGTTTTCATATCCATTAATTTTAGTAACCTCAGAATATCTATGAGGTATGGACTGTTTGTCTTAAGTTTGCAATAATTTTATTTTTGTCGAATTATGCATTAACATGTTTTGATGTGCATTTGGGACCATTGTTCTGTTGGAACATATAGAGGCATATTTTTATTAACAAAAGGTATCAATTGATTATCCAGACTTGAATTGTACATGCATTTGCTGATTATACCTTCAATGCAATAGTGATCCCAATCCAGTAAAATTCTAAAAAACACCTTCAAATCATCAAGTCTTTGCCAAACCCATGTTTCAGAGTTCCTATTGTGTATTTGGATTTTAATTGCCAACTGGTCTTCTTGCATTTTAATTACTATCTAAACTCTCAGGTTAAACCTCGAGTCATCTGATCATTATAATTATCTCCACAGTACTACCATCTAATTTCAACCTTTTCCAATTCCAAAATTTCACCTCTTTGTTGATATGAATGCTTTTCTTACTGCATAGTAACTATGGTAACACAGTAACTATGCAAACCTGCATCATCAAAACACCATATTGTTTTTTAACATCGTCAAACAGTTTTTTCTAAAATATTGAGTTCCGATTCACAAATTGTATCTCTGGCACTAGCAAATTCTCTTTTAAGTATCTCATAATCCTAAAACCAGTATGGTTATAGGATTATGAGATATAGGTTATAGGTGTACTTTTCTTTAGTTGCCCCCTAAATGGTTTATTTCATCAGTTCCTTTGGTATATATTTGATAACTAATTATAACTGCTTTTGAATTTTTTACATAAATCACTTTGTGTATTATCAATGTTTTGTATATATTTTATCAATAGTTTTTTGTATACAGATATATTTTTCACATGCTATTATTTGAAGTCATAATTATCACATGTTAGTATTTGAAGACATATTTATTACATGTTAGTATTTGAAGACATTTTATTACATGTTAGTATTTGAAGACATATTTATTACATGTTAGTATTTGAAGACATATTTTTGCTATTATTCTGTTGACTTTCAGCTATAATTTTACTTTAAGTTTCAACTAAACAAAATGTTTAAAGGATAATAATAATAATAAGTTTCTTAATAAAATTAATTCTTCTTTAATAAAAGTCTTAGAAGAAGCAGTATTAAAATCAGTTTTTTTGATATTATTATTAAGATTTTATTTATTTGTATTGGAATGAGAATTTCAAGATTTTAGGTACTTTAGTTTATTTTAGTAGATTTTTTTTAGTAATAGACACATTAGAACTAAGACTTGTACGAAACATACTTACAAAGAAATCCAACAGTTTAATTTAAAAATATTACATCACGCAAAATCAGGTTGGCATTCAGCAATGCCAACACAAAAGCTGAGCTATCTTTGCTTTACTACGGCATAAAAGTGTCACCCTAAATCTCTAAAAGTATCCGCATACATATTTCTAAGTAAAAAATATACAATATTCATTCAATACCAATTCATAATTTATTTATTATAATTTTTTGTTGTTTAAGTTTTATTTAAAAAAAAAATTCATTCATTTTTTCTTAACTTCATAAAATACATAGCAAGGTCATTAAAAATTAATAAAACTAAAAAAATATGATAACAACAGACACTTGAAAAGTGTCTGTTGTCCTTACTCTTTTTTAGTCAAAATTTTAGTATGATTATTATGTTGTTAAGTTTTAAAATTTATTTTATTAGACAAAACCATTCATGTTTACGGCTATTTTAATAATATTTAGATCTTAAAGTTTAATAGAAAAGTTCTTCTTTACGTTATTTGTAAGGTTTCTCAAAATTGAGTGAAATTAAAAAAATAAATCCTGATTTAGACTTTTGATTCAAAAAAAAAAAGTGCTTCCCAATCATCCAACAGTGTTAAAGTCTAAATGACACTGGGGCATAAGACCGCTAAATTCAATATAAGATTAATAGCAATGATGCAATAAAAATGATATAGTCAATTAGTCAATTTATATGTTTGCTATATACTTACATTAAGTTTAATTGCTACATTTTTAAAATAATTGTCTAAAGCTCTTATAAGCATTGCTTTTATAACCAAACATTAATACTTTTGTAACAGAATGCAAAAAAATCAAAATCAAAATTTAGCCAATCTGACGCTGGCTAAATATGGCACTCCTGTGCCGACTTAAAATTATTCAGATTTTGTAGGGTGATATTGTAATGTTATACTTTTGTTGATTTTAAAAAATTTCAGTTTTTGTTTTTTTACTTTAAATGTTTATAAGGAATATGGGAAATGAGTAAAACAATAAGGGAAATGAGAAAAAGATTTTTTTTTTTGAAATAAAAATGAACAAATGAACCAATATTGAAAAGTGTGCAAACGAAAAATGAATCATAAATCGAATCAAATCATCAAACAAAGTTTGAAGATTTGATTTAATATATGATCTAAAGTTTAAAAAAAATGTATAAAATATTCTCAACAGTGGTAATGGCTGCAAAAGTTTGCATTAAATGAAAATATGAGAATGATGGGAAGGAGAATATACAGGGTGTTACCCAGGAAAAAATTTCATACAGCGTTTTTGCGAAATTGGGAATTTAGGTGCAGCTAAAAAAAAAAAAAAAGGTCCTTACATTCTGCAATTAAATTTAAACAAAATAAATTTTCCATTTTTGCTGGGAGTTACATTTGCAGCAGGATTATTTTTCTACTTTATATATGTTTAATTTTAATTAATCAACTTGTTTCATTATGAGCAATCTTTTAAAGTTTTCATTTAAATCGCTTCTTTTCTTTGTTTTTGATATACTGCAGCCATTTTTCAAAATGCCTTAATTACATATTTCGAGAATAGCACAATTAAAAAAAATTATTAGGAGAAACTATTTGTAAAACACTTTTTAAAACTAATAATTTTTATGAATTTTTTTAGAACTCTTTGAATATATGTATTCAATAACGTTTGTAGACATCTAAACTAGCATATTTTGCGAAAATGTCATAATTGATTTTTTTTACCTAAATGCGTTTTGAAAAATGGTTGCAGTATAGTAGAGAGAAAACAAGAACTAAAGACAATTGTTTGCAGTCTTAATGAATAATTATTAAATTTCATTAAAACTTTGATCTATTTTAATTGCGTAATTCGCTTTTTAAATACAGGTTTAAACAATTAGTTCTGAAGAAATATATTTAAATATATAACTATTTAAATACTTAAAAAATTTGTGTCACATGATAGAGCCGAAAATATTTATCCTCAAAAATATCACCGAAATATTTCACAACTGAAAATTTTAGAACCGAAAAGTATACTTTCATTGCAGGATTGAATTACAAAATCTTTTCTCGCGCCGAAAGTTTTTAAACCGAATTTTACAACCGAAAAAATTTGGATCGAATTACAAAATCCTTTCTTTTTTTAATCTATTTTTTTTTTTTTTTTTCAGTTAGTCGTTTTACAATAAAATAAACAATTAAAATTTCTTTAAAATATATATACATATATCTTATACTGCTGAATTAGGTGAGCATGATGATGTCATACTCACCTAACGTCAAATAGCCTGCTGCTGGGGGCTTCAGTACATACATCGAATGACAAATAGCCTGACTCGCAGTGGAGTGCTGCTACATCGACTCAGGGTTTGGTATGGGTCAGCAACCTTTTTATTCAATATTCTTCCTTTTCCCTCATCGTTTTCTAAAAACGCTCACTTAATTTTTTTATATATATATATATACATATATATATATACAATGTTTGATAACAGTGTAACTTTCGGTTGTAAACCATTTTAATGAAATTCGGTTCTAAAATCATTAATGACTTTTGATCGAAAATTCGATTGAAATTTTTTTGGTTCTAATTTTTTTCGTAAATATTTTCGGTTGTGTAATAAATTTCTCATATTCGGTTCTAAATTGAAATTAGGGATTCGGTTGAATCATAGGACGCCAAAAAATCAATCGGCATATTTAAATACCTAGTAAATTAGGTATTTAAATAAGAAATATATTTAAATACAAAACTATTATTATTTTTTTAATTTAGAAATATACGTTAAATATCTACGTTATGTTTGTATTTGAAAATCAAAAAAAAAAAATTTTGTATCAATAAATACTGGCTAATAATAATATTATTTAATTATCTTCTTTTATTTTTTACGCAAATATAACATAGATAATATGTTTCATTGCAAGTTTTATTTTTGATTATTTTCGTTGTTATCTTTGGTTTACTTTACTAGCTGATTTATTTTACCAAAAGTATTAATAACTTTGTAAAAATTTTGTAACTTTCCTAACTAAAGATAAACAGCAAAAACTTAAATAATGAGTTTTTGAATAACTAAAATAAATTAATAAAATAATTTATTAAACATATTAAAAAATCTGAACTCGAGAATAAGTGATGTCAATAAAAATTTAAAAAAAAAGTTTTTTTTAAACTTTTGAATGAATGATCTTGTTAAGGTTAATGACGCTTGTTAATGACGACACGTTTTTACACATGAAAAAAAATCGATCAATTTAATTCATTTTTTTTGTCATGCATACTAATTTTTACTAGTCTAGCGCGACACTTTAAATCTGAGACTGACTTAATTTTTTTTTTTTTTTACTATGATCTTATAAACTTTTGGGAATTTTAAACCAATTGGGAATACCGCGTTACATGCGGTGCCATCAGACTGGGTAACACCCTGATATAAGAATATATAACGGCTACCAAAGCCTGGTAGTAGAATACATAAATACATTTACAATCAAGACACTCTTTGTATTTACTATAAGTATATGCGTATTGATTGCAAAACTGGTAAAGTACTCAACAAACAAGGTGGAAAAATGTAAACAAAATTTTTATTGATTTATTTTTCAGTCATATTTATCTTATCAAGAAAAATCATTTACTTTGGATGACGTAAGACTAACTTTCTTTGTGTTTTGTCAAAGATATTGTCAAAAATACCTGTCAAAGAGGAAGATTCTCTCAAAAGATGTTTAACCATCTCGTTACCAGACAAAATCAGTAAAATAATTGTAAGTGAAATGTTATCATCTATTTAAAAGCTATAAAACAAAAAATATTTTTAAGAATTTCACAAAAAAACTTGTTTTATTAGTCAGAAAAATGGCAGCTAACCTATTTTTTTAAAAGTCTATCTTTTTAAGCCTTAATTACGTGATTAAATGTCGTTTTTAGCATAGTCACATTTACTAAAAAATATCATAACCCACATAGCGGATTACTGGTAATGAAAAGGTTAAAAAATTGTTTAGTAAATTGGATATATAACAGAAACGCTTAGTATACCAGATTGTATACCATTTAACCAAATAAAAATTAACTAAAAAAAAACTCTTAACATGTGCTTAAGAATAGAACATCTATCTTAGCATCAAAACCTAAGCTTCAGCTTATTTTTTAAGTTGATTCATTCAACTCATTCATTAAGATATAATATTATTTCATATTTATTTACATGCATTAAAGAGTTTTTATTACCGGCCACTAGTTAAATGTTTTGCAGTTACAAGATCTGTTTTCTTGCGTCCTGTTCCTAAGTCTTTTCTTCCTTCAATTGAGCCAACTTCCATTAAAATATTAGGCTGCCAAAACTTTATCTCTCCATCAAGTGCAGAAACAGCTATTTCATAACCATCTGGGCGAAATGCAATAGCAGTAACTTAAATAAAAGAAAATCAAAAATCAAAAACCAATAAGAACTCAGAAACATGTAAAGTGTAGAAAACTAAATAATTAGTTATAGTACCATTAGAACCAATAGTAATTGTTTCCTTTGGTGATGTTTGATCATAAACATTCCATAAGCGAACAGTGTTGTCCCATGATCCAGATACTAACATTGCTTTAATGGGAGAAAATGCAAGACATGATACAGGCCCTTCATGTCCTGATAATATCTATAAGCCAATTAACAATTTTTAAAAACCACTTAAGCATAAAGTTAAAAAGAAAAAAAAAAATTTATCACCTCAAGAAGCCTTCCAGTCTGCATTGACCACATAAATATTTCAAATGTGTCTAGAGATCCAGCACAGACAATTTCCCCACTACTATCAAGAGATAATGAGCAAAACTGAGCTGGGCGAGGTGATGTAAATGTTCGAAAATTGCGATATCTAATAAAAAAAATTTATTCATCTAATTTATAAAATTTTTTTTATAAATTAGATGAATAAACAATGATATATTTATATAAATAAAAAAAAAAATTATTAAATTAATTCAATATGAACAAAACCTGTTCAAGTCAAAAGCTCTAACAGTTCCATCAAGAGAAGAAGTAACAATTACTTTTCCATTTTGACTAAACTCAACTCCAGATATGCCAGCTGAGTGTTCATGAAAAGTCACAAAGCAAAATCCTGATATTGTGTTCCACATCTTAACCTAATTGATCAAAAAAAAATTATTATTATTATTATATATAAATATAAATATATATATATATATATATATATATATATATATATATATATAAATATATATATATTTATATATATATATATATATATATATTTATATATATATATATATATATATATATATATATATATATATTATATATATATATATATATATATATATTTATATATATATATATATATATATATATATATATATTTATATATATATATATATTTATATATAAATATATATATATATATAAATATATATATATATATATATATATATATATATATATATATATTTATATATATTTATATATATAATATATAAATAAGAAATCAAAGTCAATTCAACTTGAAATTGACAGTTAATTAATTTTTTTTTGGACCATCAAAATATTATTATTTTTCTTTGTTTAAATTTTAATAGTTTTAATTAGTATCTAATATTAATAGTTTAAAAAAATTCTTGTGCGCATAGGTTTTCATTCAAATAAAAAAGGAAGTTTGATAAAATGCAAAAAATTTGTTGCTGTTTTTATCTAATTATATATTACTGAAACAATTTTTTTTAGTATTTTAAAAATGTAAACTGAATACAAAGAGACCATTTTATGTAACAGTAAGTTACATTAAACAAAGACTCAAAATTTTTAAATATAAGCTTACAGAACTTCTATTGTAGAGTTTTTTTTTCAACAGGTAGTTTTAACTCTCATTCTGCTTGTGTTAAAAAATGAAAGTGTCATTTTTCTCATTTTAGTTGTCATTATTTTGATGGATTGATATTTAATGATTCTATTACATTTCAACAATGGAAATGGAAAAAAAAATGTTTTAATGTGCAACTGATTATTTTAAATTTATTTAAAAATAATTCATTAATTACAATGACTTTGCAAATGACAGGAAAAGAAAAATAAATGTAAACATTGAATGAAAAAAACAAAACATACAAAATAAAACAAAGTACATTTAAAGGAATATTCTTAGGCACATACAAATATTTCAAATAATAACAAAATAAAAACTTCAATCTTTAAAGTTAATGGTGTTAAAGAAGAAAAATGGTTGCACATTTTACATCTTTGCTTATTAAAGTCATTTAAAAAAGTTCTAATGTTAATTAGTTAAAATGTTAATTAGGGGAAAGGCGCCTATGATGCTTCAACTTTGAAGCTTCATTATTCAGTATCCTGAAGACCAAGAACAAAAATTTTGATATGGATACATTCTTTGTTACATGTAGAACAATATTAACCTTAAGAGTTTTCATAATTTTTATTTTTTTATTAGTTATTTTTATTTTTTAAAAAAGCACAAGTATGCTATCTTAGGAAACTAATGCTCCTATGATGGCATAGAGGAAGATGGGGTTAGTTAGAATCAAGGGTAACTTGACAATTTCATTTGACCTTAGAGTCTTCTCTCAGAAATATCAGAAACTATGTGTAATCATCCTAATTAACCCATTCGTGCTATGCAGCAGCAGTGTCAAATTTTGTGCATGCGCATAAGAGATATTGCAATTTATGTGTTTTTTGAACCATAAATTTTATAGTGAAGTAAAAATTCCTTTTTACTTCAATAACAAGTATGTTGTTTTTATGAAAAAATAAGGTTTTCCCCAATCCTCAATATTACAACACACCTAACTTGTCAGTATGCCATTATAGAAAGAAATCATCATTTTCATTTAAACAAGCTATGTTTGTCTTGTTCAAAAGATAAAATTAAAGTAAGTGTTCCACTAAATGCACAAAACTTGGAAATAAAATGCATGAAAATTTTATTTCTGCGCAGTTAATAATAAAATCACAATATTAAATATTTAAAGGGATTAAAAAGACAACAGCAAATTCCAAAATCAATTTTTCTTGATTATAAAAGCAATATTTGTGCATAAGGGACGTATTTTTACTAAAACTAATATAAAGTCAGTTAGACATGTTGGTCTAATCACTTTTTCGCCATAACCAATATTTATGAAGATATGACCGGTATGCCATCATAGGCACTATGCCATCATAGGCGCCTTTCCCCTATTCAATATTATTGTTATGACTTAATACAAAGAAGTCAATTGTTTCATAAAACACTACTATAAGAATTACTAATGTTACATAAATCGAGATTTTTACTAAATAAGTATTTTTTTAAGGTTCTTATTACAGAAAATAATTTAAAAAGATTTAGAGAAAGAAAATAAAAAGACTAAGTAATATGTTATATGTAAAAGTAAAAAAGGAAATAAATCTTAGTTAAATACAGCAATTAATCTCTTTGTATTATTAATATTATTAAAATAATGTATTAAATATTTTTATTAAAACAATAAAATAAGAACTTTTATTATGAAAAAAAGATCACCACTAGTAAAATGAAACTGATCTAAATAAATAAAGCAAAAAAAAAAAAAAAAAAAAAAAGATAAAGTTTATGTTTAAAATGGCAATTTTATTCATTTTGGACAATCATTGACCGTTGACTGGCTATTATTTTTCACGCTGTATATCAGGGGTTGAAAATTAAGCATATCACAGTTGCTTTTCACACCCTCACAATTAGTTTTTTGTAAAATGCTTTGTTGACAAATATTATATGTGACTTAAACTTTTTAACTTTTTTGCTTCAGTTTATTTAGATCAGTTTCACTTTACTGGTGGTAAAAAAATTTTTTTACAAATGATAAAAGTTCTTATTTTATTGTACTTAGTCAGCATTTTTTCTTTCACTAAATTTTTTTATTTATTTTCATTATTAGGAATTTTAAAGAAATATTTATTTAGTGAAAATCTTGTTTCATGTAACAGTAATTCTTAGTAGTGTTTTATGAAACGATTGACTTTTTAGTATTAACTAATTAACATTAATATTAACTAATTAACATGAGCAGTTTTTTAAATGATTTTAATAAGCAAAGATGTAAAAAAAAATTTTTCCAAGTTAGCATCAAAAGTAATGTTTTTGTCTAAATTTTTTTATTTGTGTTTTATTTTGTGATAAATTACACTGTGCTAAACTTAACTTTCGAATAGAAGTGAAAAGAAATAAGAAGATCATTTGCACTCTTGTGTAGAGATTTTTATTTAACATAAAATGATTTTGAACTTAAATAACTTTAAATCTCTGTTGAAATATTATTTTAAAGTTATATTTAGTTTGATTTACTAGGGATGGCTCATTTCCTTATTTTGATGTAAAAATGAGAATTGCTTTTAACCGTAAAATACTTTAAATAACTCATATTAAAATATATAATTTACTTACATTTAAAAGTTTTTTTTTTTTTACATAAATTATTTAATATTTAAAGCTTAATTACTCAAGTTTAGTTTTTTTTAATCACCTTTTACTTGAAAAAGTAATTTATTTTTACAAGTAAAAAGTAATTTGCATTTTTACTTTAATTTGTAAAAATAACTTACTTTTAATGGTAAGTTGTGTAATGTAAATTACTTTGAAAAGAAATTATGGCTATAATTATGTAAAAAATTTACATTGAAATGTAATTTAATATTTATATGTAAAAAAAGTTATTTATGAAGTGAACTTACATATATATAATATTTCAAAAACATAACACTTACTTTACAAAGTAAAATAAAACTACATCATAACAACAAATTACTTTTACATGTAACTTCTTTTTTTGTTGAACAGAAATAGGTTAGTGGCCATAATGTAACTTTGATAGGGAGGGGGGTAGCATGGATGCTACCCATGCATGCAAACCTTGACTAAGTCACTGTTTATTAGAGCGTGCTTTTTCTACAGTTTTTTCTCTTTGTATTTGCCTTTGCAATCAAATATTTTGTTATGGTAATATGATGCAATATAACATTTTTGGTATACGCAAGGACATCGAATAAAAATAAACTATACTTAAGGCGAGTGTTTTTTTCAGGCACTCTAATAACTCCATAAAAAATGAGTCTTATGCGAGATCAGTAATATTGAAAACAAAGCCTAAAAAATCAGTGCCAAGGGCAGGTTACCCATACCCCTTAATTGGGGGGAGGGAAGGGAAGCAACAAATTTTGTTATTATTTATGATAATTTAAGGAGTTTTTTATTTGAGCAAAACCTAGCGGTAAAATTTGGAAAATTTTGAGACCCGAATGACACGTTTTTTTGGGGGCCTCCTACCCATTAGCTACGGCACTGCTAAAACCTGTTTTTTGTCAACTCAAAAAATAGGTTGCCTGAAATATGTCTTACTCTGGGTCAGTATATAAGGGGTGACATGCATGGGCGTCTGCAGGATTTTTTGATGTTTCAGATAGGACACTTTCACACATTGTGCAAACTCCAAACTTAAGTATGTTTGTACCTATGCCAAGTAAGGAGGCCTTGCAAAAAATTGGGATGGCGGAAGCCTGATAACAAAAAACGCTTGCCCCCTCTGCTCAAATGTGAGGGCATTAATATAGTAAAATTTTCAACTTTACCATCTAAAACTAAATTCAAATTTATCGACAGATTTTAAATTTCATAAAAAAATATTGTAAATTACAAAAGTTATGACAATGCAAAATTTACACCCCCACTCATTTTACACCCCCACTCATTTTAGGGGAGTTGGAAAACTTGCATGGTAATAACTTTTGTTATTTACAATATTTTTCGACAAAATTTAAAATCTGTAGATAAATTTAAATTTAGTTTTAGTAAAGTTGAAAATTTTACTACATTAGTACCCTCACGTTTTGGCGTGGCTCTTTTGTTCACAGGCTTTGCCAACCCAATTTTTTGCAAGGCCTCAAGTTTGGAGTTTGCACAATGTGTAAAGGAGTTCTATCTTGAACATCAAAAAATCCTGCGGGTGCCCATGCATGTGTGTGCATAGAAGGAAACTATACTCCCTATACCATACATCTTTTTATGTTGGTAAACTAGGATCTTTAGTCAGAATTTTAACTTTTCTATTGATTAGGTGGTTAATTGTGATAAATTAGAAAATCGAAGTACGTGTTTTTAAATTGACCCCCCCTCCCCATACGCTTTTGTAAGGTTTTTGAAGACCCTCCATTCTATGAGCGTACGTACTTTATGGACGACCCCTTAGTTTTTTTAGAGCCAACTAGAAAACTCCACTTTTTTGAATTACTTTTTTGTTTTAATTTTATTTTATCTTTCAGACTTGTTTTTTTCCTGGAAAAGGGGGGCTGTACCATTATTTTTTTTTAAATTATAAAGACAGTCTTTTAAAAAAAACTTTTAAATAGCTGAACTAAATAACATCACAACTAATTTAAAAAAAATGTAATTAACTTAAAAAAAAATGGATAACTTTTCATAACCACAACAACTGCTTATTTTAATTTATTTAATATAGTGAATTTAGTAGGGTGGTTCAAAAAAGCACACATTTAAATTTAAAATTATATGATCGGTTGTGAAGAAAAGTGTTCTATATGATGAAACAACATCAAGATTTTGTTCTGTAATTTTTTGTTACTTATTCTAATTTAAATTTTCAAAAATTAAAAGTAAAAAAATTAACAAAAATGCAAATATTTGCATTTTTGCATAGGATGTCCAGAATATCAACAAAAACATTAGGCTCAGGAGAACTGTGGGGTCCAACCCCATTCTGTGGAACTCATAGGTCTGAGAAAAAATAATTTTGGGTTTCTGAAATGATTAGAGGTGATAGATGTAAATTTTGACTTTTCAAGTGTTACGAAACTACAGTTTACAGTAGAACTGGTTTTTTCTTCTCTAGTTATGTTGTCACTGTGCACTACAGTGTACACTGTACTTCAGTATTCAATTAAATGTCCTCACATTTTAAATTACAAAACTGTGATTATAATATTATTTCCTATTTTTGTTTTTTACTGCCTGTAGCAAAGCATTATGGTATAAATTTATTTAGAATCTATAAAAATCAAAAACTTAAAATTTACTAATGAGAAAAACAAAGTAAAAACCAACAGTAAAAAGTTAGATTTCAAATTTAAAATCAATAAAAACAAAATTTACAGTTTCATTTAACTGTTAAAATATCCAATAAGAGAGTTACCTAACAGACATTTTATTGGCGTATTTCATTCAGCATGAGGTAACATAACATCTTTCAGGATACTTTTATACATGAAATGGTCCATTATTCCATCGTTTCGATGTATTGGACCTAGACCGTTAGCAGAAAAACACCCCCAGACCATTACATTGCTTCTACCATGCTTCACGGTCTTATGGCAGTAACGAAAATCGAGGCGTTTTCTGGCCGGTCGATGTACATGGCAAATGCCATTGCTCCCAATGATGTTGAACTTCGATTCATCATTGAACAGGACAACTTGCCATTTCTGCACATTCCAGTCAATATGAGATGGAGCAAACAGAAGACTTTTCTTCTGGTTCTTTTGTGAAATCAGCGGTTTCTTTGCAGGATGTCGAGAAAACAATCCGGCTTCAACAGCACGTTGTCTGATTGTTTGGTCCCACACAGGCAGCTCTAATTGCTTTTGTATCTCGACTAGTGATATCCAGAGATCCTTCTTGACAGATTTGACAATCATTTGTCAGATCCGACAATCACTTGCTACAAATGGTTTGGTACATCATCATTAGTAAGAGCAACAAATACAAGCTTCTTTGGTTGTGAACTTGAACATAACAGTTTTAATTGGATTCACTGACAAGCAAGAGCAAGAGGTCTGGGAGTCAAGTGTAAGGTCTGGGCTTCTTATAACAGCAAGAAGTGCAAAGATTAAAAGTTATAACAAAAAGAAATAAACTTTCAACATTCGGTGTTACAATATGAAAGTGAAACATAACAGTGAAACATGGGTAAGAAAAGTTGATGATGTGGTCTTGAAAATTTAGAAAAGATTATATGATAAGATGAATTTATTGATTAGTTTCAGATAATACTACTAGATAATGATATAAAGCAACTTTTCTTTAAACGTACAATAATATAAAGCAACACTTCCTTAAAACTACAATTAAGTAAATGAGTAAATAGAACGCAGGAAAACTGTTTTTACACTTTAAGGACAAGAGAACCATTTAAAATTTTTTTTTTTATTTTTTTTTCAGAAGTGTTTTTACACTAACAACAAAACAGTGAATCAAATTAAGAAAATTAAAAAGAACTAAATCTCTAACAGAGCGCAAAACAATCATTTCAAGAAATTATAAGTAAAATAAAAAAATAACCTTTCCATCATCTCCTCCTGTTGCAATAAACTGTCCATCAGGTGAATATGCCATAACATTCATATCATAAAAATGACCTTGTTGTTTTAGGACATAAGTTTCACTTTGCCATTCCCAAACCAAAAGCTGACCTAAGGTGGAAGAGCCAAATGCAAGCCACTCACTTGTATTGCTTATAGCAATTGAGTTGATCTTATGTTGAGTTATACTGCAAATAAAAATCATATTAATACTATAAATAATATACATATAAAAAAGTACTATAAAATAACTTTTTACTTTTAGAAACAATTATCTGGATTTTTTCATGACATAATAATATTGATGATGATTATGATGATGATGATGATAATAACGATGATGATTATGATAATGTTGGTGATACATCTTTTAAAACAAAAAAAAATCATTAATTATTTTATGTATACAAATACCTTAATGAGTGGATTTGTATGAAATCAGGCATTTCATATAACATGAAAATTCCACTTGAAAACCCAACAACTAAAATACTGTTGCCTTTGTGAAATTCTGCACATGTCAGTGATGTATCATTTTGATAGAAGAAATGTCTATAGATAAAAAAACAAAAACAAATAGAGCACTATAAACAATATATATATATATGTATATATATATATATATATATATATATATATATATATATATATATATATATAAAAATTCAGTATTAGACATACACGGATTTTGTCATACAAAAACAGGAAATTATAGGGACTTCAGTACATATATCTGTATATATACATCTTGTAGTCTGCTGTATATATATCTGTATATATACATCTTGTAGTCTGCTGCTGCAAAGGAGTGCTGTTACATAGATTGAGGGTTTGACGTGGGGCAGCAATCTTTTCTTTTTTTTTATTTTAAAAAAATATTGTGCATTTATATATATATATTATATATATATATATATATATATATATATATATATATATATATATATATATATATATACACTAGAGGTGCACCAATACCTACTTTTGGTCGATGCGGATGGGTACAGGCAGATGCCGATGCATCGGCATCGGCCCTGATAGTGGATATATGAGGGAAATATGCACTTGAATGGAAATGCCACCTTCCATTCAAGTGACAATGAAAGCAATATTTTAAAATTGCTATAGTTAATTTATTCCATTTATTTTTTTATTGTTCTCTAGATAATTAGAGTAATTACTTCAATTGAAAAACTCGTTTTATAAATATTTATTTTTGTCATTCTGTTAAATTAAAATGATTTTGTTTTTTATAAAGAATGAATGAAAAATTTTGATATCGTTACTTCTAGTAATTGGCAAGTTTTTATGAAATTGAATTATAAAACAATACTTATATCTAATATTTATTTATTAAATGCTTTCAATTTAATAATAAACCTTTTTATTATTTAATTTTAATATAAATGTAATGAAACATTTTGATTGTAAAGAATAACAGAAAGAGTTTCAAAAAAATCTTTGTTTAAAGCAATTTTCTTTTTATAATTTATTATTATTTAATAAAAAATTTCTTACAAATTATAAGAAAACACTTAAAAAGTAGGGAACCCTGTTAAAAGCAGTTCAAAAATTTTTAGTTTAGTGGTTGCATATATGCCTATATAAAGCTTATTATTAATAAGTTAGGCTTATGGATTGCATTTAGGGTAAGGTTGCCAATATTGTACCCTCTAAGAATAAAGTCAAAAACAGAGAAAAAATACAATGTAAAAACAATGAGACTTTATTGTATTTTATAATTTAGGGATAAACTGTTCTAAAAAAGTTGACATATGTCAAAATTAAAATGTTGGTATTTGATAAGGAACTAAATTTTAAAAAATATGCTATCAGTACAATTAAGGAAACAAGATTCTAAATCATACTATTATAATCCAATATTTTACCTATATCTTGATTTTATAAATACTATATTAATTTACAGTACATTTTGAATAATTTTTGTAAATATCTTTTTCTGTGTAAAATGTAAAATGTTGTATATGTAAAAAAGTTTTGAGTTTAATAAGTTTTATTTAATAAAAATTTAATAAATTTTAAAAGTTTTTAAAACAATCGACATTAGCCAATGGTTATCAAGGCTGATTATTAATGATCAAGGATGGTTATTAAATGGCCAATACATCGGCTATTCCTATGCTATTTCATTCTGTCATCAATGGGACTTCATGCAAAACTAAATGCCCAAAATTATTTATATGTATGTATATATATATATATATATATATATATATATATATATATATATATATATATATATATATATATATATATATATATATATATATATATATATATATATATATATGTATGTATATATATATATACATATATATATATATATATATATATATATATGCGATTGTCTTACAAGAGTATTTTAATGACATAATTGTTTTACATAAAATGCATAACTATAGACTTTGTGAAAGATTATGAAGTGGAATGGCATTATTCTTCTTTTTCAGAAGGGTTTATATTAATGGCAACAACATAATTTAAATTTATTTAAGAATCAAAGAAATTTTGATATTTTATTGAATGTTAAAAAATCTTTAATTGTTTTTACAGAACAAAATTATCTGTATTACTTCAAAAGTTATTAAATTTTAACGTCTTATATTCCAAACCCGGAAACTCTTTAAACTATAATCACGTTGATTCAAACCACCCAATATTTTAAAACAACTTCCGCGTTCTATCGAGTTAAGATTATCTGCAAATTCATCAAGCAAAGAAATTTTTCAAAATTCTACTGACATATATAACGAAACATTATTAAAATCAGGTTTCGTTCATAAGCTTTCTTATCATCCTAACTTAAATTCAACTTATGCTAAGAACCGTAAATGCAACATCATTTGGTTTAACCCCCCTTTCAGCAAAAACTATAGCACAAATATAAGAAAATTTTTTTTAACCCTTATCAATAAAAACTTCCCTGCTAATCACAAGCTCCGAAAGATTTTCAATAGAAACACAATAAAAGTAAGTTGCTGCATGCCAAATATGAAATCTATCTTAAATCCACACAATTGTCATATTTTAAACAACAAAATTACCACTAAAAGCAATTGCAACTGCCTTGTAAAAAAGACCTGCCCTTTAGCAAACCAATGTCTAACAAATAACATTGTATACCAAGCTAATTTAACCTTATAAATGATCCTTTATAAACAAATTTTACATCGGTAAAAGTGAAACACCTTTTAAAATTTGATACGCTAATCACATAAAATCATTTAATATTATCAGATATAAAAGGTTATCAAAGTAGTTTTATTTTTAAAATAACACTGGTTATCAAAAGAGAATTAAAAGAAGCTAATTTGAATCTTATAGTTAAATGAAAAATAATTAAAAAGTGCAATGCTTATAACCCTACGAAAAAATCTTGTAATTACAAGATTTTTTCGTAGGGTTATAAGCATTGCATGCTTAAATGAGAAATATGAAAAAGCATGCTTAAATGAGAAATATGAAATTCCATTTTCTAGAAATCCAAGCTTATTAAATAAAAGGAGTGAAATAATATCTAAGTGCAGGCATAGAAACAAATTCCTTCTGACTAATTTCGATACCAGTGATTAATCCAGTTTCTACATTACTTTTTAATTTGTTTTGACGTCAGAACCCATTCTATTGTTGTTTTTGTATTTTGTATTTTTAATGGTTTTCTTCATTAAAATATGATGATTGCCGAAATGGCATGAAACTTAAAGTTCTATCATAAAATTGTATTTTTTCATTTAGTTAAATTAAAATTAAAAAAAAACAGCAGACTTCTTGACTAAATTTTTTACACACAATAATAAAGAAACAAGATCATCTTTACGGTCGAAAGCATCAAAGAGTCAAAGCAGCATTTACCCAACTATGTAACTTATGTAACTCAAACCTAAATGTGTTTAAATTTAAATATCGTATATATATATATATATATATATATATATATATATATATATATATATATATATATATATATATATATATATATATATATATATATATATATATATATATATATATATATATAGGGCTCAAATTAAGCGTATCGCAATAGCTTTTCACTCCTTCGCGAAGAGTTTTTTTTAAATAAAAAATATTTTTGCGGTTTGTTTTAGTTTTTTTTGGTTGTTTATTTACTTTTTTTTCTAGTTGAGCATTTTTTTGGCAATTCTTAAAAGTAATATTATTATGTCAAAAAGTATGTCACACTAAATTTATCTTCTGAATGATCATTTGCTCTTTCGCGGGAAGATTTTCATTCAATGTAAAACACATTTTAATAAATTACTTTAAACCTCTGTGTGGAAGCCAATAATATTTAAAAGGTTGTTAAAACGAAAAGTTGAAAAGGAAAAAGACGTTAAAGCAAATTTTTTCTTCATTCTTTTTTTTTTACAAAACAGCCTGGTTTCTATCTTTATTTTTCAAAATGTTGCACCAAACTAATTTATTATTAATAATTTAACTTATTATTTCATCAACAATTTTATATTATTAATTTTCCTACTTTTATTTTTATATTAAAATATATATTAATTTGTTTTTATTAAAGTTTTTTTCTTATTGTTAATCAATTTTTCTTATTGTTAGTCGAAGAAACTTTTTTGCTTCAATGTTTTTAAGCATATTCTTAAAGAAATATAATTTGATTTATTAAACCAAATTTTTTTTTGTTTCACTTTTTATTGGAAAACACTTTGAATAAAAAAATTTAATGAAAACATTAATCTAAAAAATTAATGTTTTCATTCAATTTTTTTTTTTTTTTGCGTTTAGATTTTTTTTCATTTATTCGAGCCCTGATATATATATATATATATATATATATATATATATATATATATATATATATATATATATATATATATATATATATATATATATATATATATATATATATATATATATATATATATATATATATATATTAGGGGTATGACAATTTTTCAACTCTGTATCCCCATACTCAAATTAGTGGAGTTTTTATGCAAAAATCAAGAAAATATCTAACATTTATACTATATCTCAAAAAAGTTCACCCCCCCCCCCCTATTTAAAAATAAGAATAATAGAATATAAGAAATGTTATTTTGCGACACATGTTCCAGTACTTTATAGAAAACTAACAAACATGAATAACTAAAATAATCTTACAGTGTATTTGACAATAAGTATTTAATGTTAAGTTTTTCTATGCTATGGCATAAAGGCACTAAATCTTGCATCACTCTTACCCCATGCTCTGCACATATGTTTGACTGTTGTGTTGAAATTGGTGATGGCTCTGTGGACCAAAATTTTTTCAACGATTTTAATGCTTGTGGACGCATATATAGATAATTATGATAAAATTTGTTAAGATAATTACAATAATGTCGTTTAGAAAAAGCAAATAGTGTGGTTTAGAAAAAGCAAAATTAGAAAACAACATTTTAAAACAGTTAAAACATTACAATGCGAACAAACTCTATAAGCTTTAAACTTTTTCATTTAAAATAACAGCAAAATTGCATTAAAAATATTTTAAATAATAAAACAAA